ACTTGCCCTACTTTTCATTTATTTCACCTCTTCATTCGCTCGATTCTGTATCCATTAGCTTAGTAAAACCTTCCTCCGCATGTGTGTGCCAGTGTATCTGAAGAACTGCTTAATCAAACGAAATTCACTACTATCAGAAGCTTTTTTTCCCTGTTTGTTACAAACTGAACTTATGTACCTTCATTTTATTGCTTCCAACAAAGCTGCAGAAGTCGATAAGAAATCCATCAAAATAGAGCCGTTCCAGAATAAAAGTAAGGAGTTTCAAGAAATTTTTAGGTCTATATAAGCTTATCAAAAGGATACTGGATGCTGGAAAGCATATTCAGATTTATTGGTCGAAGATAGAGGGCTTGGAGCCTATGTTAATCCATTAAATTTCTGTGGTTGTCCAAACCCTTTTTGAATGAATCAGTTGAGATTGAAGACACCACTTCTTCTGGGAGTCGGTTCCAAGAGTTTATTACTTGTCGTGAGAGCCAGTTCTCAACAGCAACATGATATCTTCTTGGCTTTTGAACTCTCCTGTTATGTTCTCTGTGGTGTTCCGACCTGGTGGGGTGGGAGAGAGAGAATAGGTCAGGTCCGTAGCCATTATTTAAAACTTTAAGCATTGTGATTAAATCTCCTCTCTGCCTACGGTATGACAGGGAGAAGAGATTTAAACTGTCTAGTCTCTCCTCGTATGATAAGTTAGTTATGCCGAGAACTATAAGTGTTGCCTTCCTTTGAACTCTTTCTAGAATGTCTGAGTCCCCTTTAAGACCAGGACTGGCTGCCTGGATACAGTTTTCTAGTCTTGACCTGACCAGAGATGTATATAAGAAGGTGAAAGACATATATCTAGATCGGAACCTAAATCAGTGCAATAGTGTACTTTGTCATTTGGAGTTGAGTTAGCTCTCTGGATTGGTTACTAACCAACAATACTTTATGGGCATTCTGAGGATTACTCTAAAATTGTTTTCTATAGTTATTTCAGCCTTACATTGGTTATTATAAGTACTGCACTGGGTTATACGAATTCGTAAGGCTTAGGTATTCTTGGTTTTTGTTTTTAGTAATTATCTAAATACATATAGTAGTTGTGAGAACACGGGGAATGTGCAGTCTGTATCATTGCATATCTTAAACTCTTGATGCAGCTGTTACTTTCAGTAATACGACAAACTCACACTTATCTCACGTTTCCAAATAACAGTCATCCACCTTTGTCTATATATTTCATGTAAGTTAACAAATCGACCCAATATTTTCTGTTTGTCCCACTTTTTGAAAGGGATTTATCTCACTTTATGTCCCACTTTTCCCATATTTACGAGGAAACTCTCTTACTGAAAAGAGTTCTTGATGAATTCTAACTCTCTTCCGACTTTTGACCTTTGTTTGTATCTTTTAATTCTTGGGACTGAAAGTCATAAATGAGAAAGTAATTTGAAACTCACATATGTGACTAACTGCTTTTAACATAACACTATTCTTTTGTAAAATAATTGTCAACTTTATATCCCTTGTTAGAAAGTAATCTATCTCTAAAAAGTAAAATAAAATCCCAGTTGAGAATATGAATGTACGAGGTGATTAATAAACTAAAACCAAAGCAACATAACAAAGTTTATGGTAGGTATTTTCAGTGGTCAAACGAGTCTCTTTCGAAGACAATAGTTCCAGCTTTTCCATGCATGTATCAGGGAGTGTTGCAGAGCAAAGAAGTTGGAAGCTTGGTGCCTCCTACATATTTTTGCTTAACCTGTAAACGACTCTAAATGATGAGTCAGTTGAATTGTCGTGACAGGTACTGACTGACAACGTGCCCGGTTACAGCACTTTTAACTACGCCAAATTCATCTCTTTGCAGCTATATTGGGTAGTGTTCTCCAACTCATTTTGAAAATATACGCAGAACAACCTAAATTGCTTGTTTCTACAGGAGTAGGTGAACTCATATACATACATTAAAATGGTTGTATCCTAGGCGTTGTTCTTCATGTTGTGTAAGAGCAATGAACAGCTGTTGAGAGAATGGCTGCAAAAAAAGTCGTCTTTTTACAGTTAGAGGTTCTCCTTTTGAAGATATTTGCAGTTAAGTTCACCTTGAAGTCAAGGTTAATTTAAATTACTTTAGGCTTAGAAAAATTAAGGAAACAGTATAAAAGCATATGTGCGTTGGTGGCATAGCGGTTAAGACGCTCGCCAACCATACACATGGTCTGGGGTTCGACCCCCGGCCGACTCACTCCTTTACCTCGCTAAGACAGAAATAATGCTGGTGAAGAAGAAAGGTTGGGCATAAGGCTAACAACCCCATCCTGTGAAAATAAACACTGTTACAGAAACTCCAAGCCACTAGCTTGAAGCCCTATGTTCCACTGAGGAACGTGAAGGAAAAAAAGTAAAATAAAAGCATATGGAAACTTTATTGTGCATCGAAACAGATAAACTTAAGTGGCACTTATTGTTTTCCACGAAAGCTGCATTGCAACATCAGTTTTGTTTTTACGAGCTGAGGGTACTTGGATCATATACACACATAGCATCAGTCAATGAAATCCACAACAATTAGTTTAAGCCTGCCAGTTACGTAGGAAGGTGTAGACTTCCTGATTGGTTGAGGTCCTTGGGACGGTAAAAATCAATGAAGGCTCGAGGCAATTAAATATATGGATCAAACTCATCGTTGTCAATGGCTGCCGCAGATGCATCCACTCCTTGTGGCTTATAATATCAAATAAAACTATATGGTTCCTCCATATTACTATTCTTTTTTGCCTCATATCTCGGTTTATTGTCTCTATTTTGCCTTTCTTTTTACTTTTTTCTCTTGCCTTGTGTGCTGAGTGAAGTGTGGCGATTCGACCTGTTGCACATTGGTACAAATTTCTATGTTGAAACCAGTCAGTCAAAGGATCACATACTGCTTTCAAACAAATATAATGATAGTACTTAGAATCTTTTTTAAAAAATCCCAGGAACAGTGAAATGATGTGAATCGTGTTCACTTTTTCATGAAAATATTTGCTTGGCAATCAGTCTTCTGAAATATCGTGGCGGGAAATATATAGAGAAGTGATTGAGTTAGAGGAACATATAAGTAGCGTTGAAAGTTGCTTCAAACACTTAGGTCGGTAATTGATTGAAGCTGTGAAGTTTTATAATGAATGCCCATGTAGAGAATAGTAAGATGTGTAGTTCGCCAGCGTTAAAAGTTCTCTGAACCGATTTTCTTAATTTCTTCGTAATTATCTCACTTGGTATAAAATACTAAATGGTTGAAATATTTTGAGATTTCGTCATGAACTAACATTAGTCAGAGAGATCAAATGGAAGCCAAGGAGCTCTTGGAAGCTGTTTCGTCAGTCTAGTTGAAGACTCTTCACTAATGCGCACCCACGACCTCAACAGGGATCAAGCCGGGGACCTTCAGATAATATGAACAAGCTCGTTGAGCATTTAACCATTTGGGTCGAGATTCAATGACGCGTGAATTTCAACTTTGTCAACTCGTCAATATAGAGCTGCCAACACCCGCTCCTCCTTACCATGGTGAAACCCACCAGTCATGAGTTGTCTCCATCAGTGAGGTGGAGACTGATTGAGATTTATTGGGTGGCAGGGGGGTGGTTGGCTTAATTTCAATGAATGGATTTCGTCTCGTACCATGTACGAGACGAAATCCATTGCGGTAGATTGGATAATGCGACAAACAGTGGGCAATGAGGAAACAGGCATAAAATGGACTCACACAAAGAACTTGGAGGATCTGGACTTCGCCGATGATATATGCCTGATTTCCCACAAACTGGAAGATATGCAAGTGAAAAGTAACAAGTTGGCAGAAGAAGCATCAAAGATAGGACTCCAGGTGAACATAGAGAAAACGGAGGTGATGAAGATCCCTGGCCAACACCAACAACAACAGACAGCAATCAGCATAAATGGAAAGAACCTGAAAGAAACTACCTCCTTTACCTACTTGGGAAGCATTGTTTCAACTACAGGCGGAACTGACGAGGATATCAAAGCAAGGATCGGGAAAGCAAGGCAAGCTTTCATTACTCTCAAATCTGTGTGGAGATCAACATCATTCAGCGTCAAAAATAAAATCGGGATTTTCAACTCCAATGTGAAGTTAGTACTACTATACGGATCAGAGACTTGGCGTGTCACAAAAAGCCCCTCAAACAAGCTACAGACCTTCATTAACAGATGTCTTCGCTCAATACTCAAGATCAGATGGCCGGAAAGGATCAGCAACAAAGATCTCTGGGAGCGAACCAACCAGGAACCGATTGTGAAACAAATAGGCAGGAAGAAATGGAGATGGATTGGCCACACTCTGAGGAAACCAGCAAGTGACATCACTAGACAAGCCATCGCTCGAGTGGAACCCGAAAGGGAAGCGACGAGTTGGTCGTCCAAGGGTGACCTGGAGGAGATCATGTGAAGAGGAGATGAAAGCATGTGGGCAGACCTGGAGCCAAGTGAAAACTCTAGCAGAGAACCGAACGCAATGGAGACGCATGGCTGAAGCCCTATGTTCCTCTAGGAACTAAAGGAAATAATAATAATTTCGTCAGGAAATTTGAGATTTAACGGAAAGTTTTGTTGAGTACAATTTCTTATGCAATAGTGTGATGAGAGCTGGCTGCTAGCCAAAGTTGGTAGACAGTAATTGACGTCAATATTTATGTCCCCAATATTGGTGGTGAGAAAATGAGAACAAAGGCTTTGTGTAGGCGGATACAGTTAGCATATGGATGATCTGACACAGCCAGCCACAAAGAGATGCAAGGTTAACTTTCTGTGAAAAACAACCAATCAGAAGACTGTGTTTTTCTACTAACAATAATCTATAATAATGTACATTGAAATCTATAAATATGTGTTGATTTTCCTTAAAAAACGATCTGTTGCCTGGCCCTTGTCTTCTGTTGTTACCAATAGTACTGGCTTCTGATAGCATAATCTGTTACTCTTTCTTGTTTTTAACTTATTAGCAGATGGATCCTACTGACTCGAATGGCAATTGTCAATTGAATATCACTTCACCGATACCTTCTACACGTCAACGTTATGGTTTATACTTACCACCGCCTACTCCATCGCCTGAATTAACTCCTTTAACTAGTCCAATAATAACTAATAGTTCAACACCTACTACATTGGTCGATTCTAAACAAAATACTCTTACAATAACGCAAGAAAGACGCGAAACACCTGAGGGCTTTGTACTGCCTTATACTACAGAGAATACTACAAGTCGAACAAACTCATCAAGTGAAGCAGAGGTATTTTAATTAAATTTATATATTATTATTATTGTTCCCTTGGGTTCCTAGTGGAACAAAGGGCTTCAACTGCACGTCTCCACTTGCTTCTGTCTTCTGTTGTACTTTTCACTTGCATCCATGTTAATCTATACTGTTTCAACTCCTCTTCACACGATCTCCTCCATGTCACCCTTGCACTGACGTCCCACTCGCCGCTTCAATTTCGGGTTCCACTCGAGCGTTCGCCTGTCGCGCGATGTCACCCAACGGCCTCCTCAGCGAGTGTCCAATCCATCTCCACTTCTTTTTCCTGCATATTTGTTGAGCGATTGGTTCTTGTTTTGTTTGTTCCCATAGTTTCTTGTTGGTTCTTGTTCTTTCCAGCCATCTGATCTTGAGTATAGGACGAAGACAGTTGTTGATAAAGGTCTGCAACAGGCTGTTGGAAATAAATATTCTTTGTGACCCGCCAAGTTTCTGATCCGTATAGAAGAAGTGACTTGACGTTTGTATTGAAAATCCGAATTTTGTTGTTGATGCTGAGTGTTTCTCGCCTTCCCGATTCTAGATTCGATATCCTCGTCCGTTCTTCATGTAGTTGAGACAATGCTGGTTGCCTAGATAAGTGAATGAAGTAACCTCTTTCAAATCCCTCCGGTTGATGGTGATTGGTGGTGGATGTCGCTTTTGATGTTGTTGTTGTTGGTTGGTTATTTTCATAACCTCCATCTTGTCTATGTTCACCTGTCTTTGCTACCAGCCTCTTCGACCAGTTTGTCGGTTTTCGCTTGTAAGACTTCGATTTTGTGTGACATCAAACATAAATCATCCACGCGCGAAATCCAGGTCTTCTAGATTCTTCATGTCGGTGCAGGATATCCCTGTTTTCTCGCTTCCCACTGTCTGACGCATAATCCAGTCCACCACAATAAGGAATATCATTGGTGATAATAAGCACCCTTGTCTGGCTCCTGTGTTTACTCCAAACGCCTCACTGAGTTTTCCGTTGTGGATCACTTGAAATTTGCCATTGTCGTACAGCTGTTGAATAAGGTTGATGAATACTTGGGGTACATCGTAGTACTCGAGTAGTTTCCAAATTACTTCGCGGTCAACGCTGTCGAAGGCCTTCTCAAAGTGTATAAAGTTGAGGTGGAGACTTGATTGCCACTCCATGCTTTGTTCGATGATAATGCGTAGAGTTGCAATTTGGTCAGAACATGATTTGCCTTTCCTGAATCCAGCTTGTTCTGGTCGGAGTTCTGTTTCCAGTGCGTCCTTGATTCTCTCCAGGATGATGCGACTCAGGATTTTACTTGGCGTCGACAGGAGCATGATTCCTCGCCAGTTCTTGCAGAGTCCTAAGTCGCCCTTCTTTGGTAGTTTCACAAGGTAACATTTTCTCCAGTCAGTAGGCACCTTTCCCACTTTCCAGACCTTTTGTAACCGGAAGGTCCTGGGTTCGAACCCTGTCGGTGTGGGTTTACACTGATAAAGAGTCCGAAACTAGGCTGACATAATAGCTGTCCAGTATTCTCTCCTTGCCTGGTGGTTTCCAATTGGTTTTATAATCGATATCAGCTGATAATGAAGTCTTGTAACCAACCGATCAAATCCCTGCAGACCGACTCTTGAACATAAGATGTTTGTCGAGCAGCATATCCCACCTAGTTTTTGAGTGCAAAGGAAAACGTAAAGGTATTAATTCATCTATACTGAAATATGTAGTAGATACTGACCAGGCAGATTATGAAACATCCTTTAATATTATGCGCAAGGTTCGACAAAGTCTGCCGAAAAAAACAGACATGAGTGTATTTGCTTTGTATAATAGAAGCTATGGCAATGATAGTAGTGATAATAATAATATCAATGACGACACCAACAATAAGGAATCTAAATCATCAGTAGTAATTCCATACAAGGAAGGAACCTCGGAAACCTCACAACGCAGAATTCTTAACAAGGCAGGAATAAAAGTGGCCGGCATTCAAACCCACAAACTCAATTAGAAACAAGCTTTGTCGGTTAAAGGATCCTGCCAATGGAGCCTTTAAAACAAAACAATTTAGTTTACCTAATACCCTGCTGGAATGATTGTCAGGTCAAATACGCAGGTCAAACTAGTAGAACAGGTGCAGTCAGACTAGCTGAACATAAAAACTTAGCAAAATCTAGATTGGTTGACCCGAATAAGATAAGAAATCTAGAGAATAGTTCAACTATCGCACTCACTACATGCAATGACACACAACCATACAATACACGATGGGAAAAGAAGACAGTTTCAAAATCTAATGTAACAGCAGGGTGGAGGGAGACATTGATAACAGAAGCTTTGTTCATCGAATCAACTGAAGAGAACACGTGTAACAGGAATGATTCAACACCTGTCCACTTGGAAATCTGGAAAATTCTACTACCCCAACGATGACAAATAGGAGAAGACAAAGAAAACTATAAAACTCAAGTTTCGAAGTCGTGTGTGATTATAATTGATGATATGATTATGAACAATGAATAAATTTTGTTCGAAACTTTGTCATCCAGTAAATAATAATACTGTTTCACTGACTGTGTGTGATACATCTAATAAACAAACTAATATGGAATTACTTACTACCACAGTGCCCAAGTTTTACACATATATTAGTATGCCTTAAAGCCAAAACTTTGTGTACAACGACAGATAGAGAGAGGGGGGAAGCGATTTCGTCACCAACCGACATCGAATATTACTACAAGAAGTCTATGCTGAGACTTGCAAGACTAGCCAGGTAAGACGTAAGGTGGGCTTGCTAACCAAGTGCATTATATGGTATTGACGCACTGCATACCGAAGTGGCGAAACTTTGAAGTCTTGCACCACCAGATACTATCTGATTCTGTTGTTGAACGAAAACATGTTCTAATTCATGGATAATCCCCATCCAGTCATTAATGAAAACAAAACACGTAGTTCAGTGAAGAGTCTCTTTTCGGCGGCGAATTTATTTTCTTAGCTGTGCAATCGCAAATATATATGGGTTATTTTGTATGTATGTGTACATAGTGGCGCAATAAGGAGTGCGATAATTGAACACCTGGTTAACACTGATCATTCCATCTCAACAAACGCCTCCTGATTCAAAGTAATCTACAGAGTCAAGAACAACCTATCAAAGGCAATAGGGTTTCGCCTTCTTTGTATCGCTGAAGCTCTGGCCATTCACATAGAAAAACCGAAGTTGTACATACAAAAGAGAATCACTCAACCACTTCTACTGCCATGGTAACAACTTTGTTGATTTTGATGACCTCATTTTGTTTCTTTGCCTGTTTCTTTAATTGCTTATAATTCTTGTATTCATTTAGAACTCTTACTTAATTTCGTATTCCCTACTTTGTCCCTGTGTGTATCCTGAGTACAACTCAATCATCAAACTATTCATATAATTACACAACTTCTTTTAACAACTGTTTGTGACAACTCATCACCTTTGTTACTATCCTAATTTCATTAACACCTAATTTTCTTGACCGTTTTTGTATTACGTAACTCTAAACAAAACTTACTAATTTTCACCTGTTTAGTTAAAATAACCATAATCAGCGAGATACTAACACAGTGCCTTAGAAATGCGATAAAAAAAGCATTCCCTGCAGCCGAATTACGCTGTATCTTCAAAATCACTCCTCGTTTGCGTTCGGAAGTAAAAGGTAAACTGCCTAATTTCGTCTCTTTCATGTGTATCTACCAATTTAATTGCTCCTCTGGAGCCAGTTACATGGGCCGTACAATTAGGTGTGTTTCTCGTCGAATTTCCGAACACCATCCTGCATTGTGGTTGGTTAAGAAAGGGACAAACAAAATCTATTCCTATTCTATCTAATCTTGTGGATACACAACACAAGATTGACGTTAACCAGGCTTTCAGGGTCATTTACCACACACCAATAAATCTCAATTTCGCCTTAAGAGTTCGACTACTTAATATTGCTGAGGCCGTTGGTATGCAAATTAAGAAGCCTCATTTGTGCATCCAAAAGAAGTTGCTTCAGACATTATCATTACCTTGGCCATCTAGGTTTGAATGATCCTGAATCTTCGTGGAATTTTCCTAATTTTAGTTGATATTCTATTTGCTCCTATATCTTTGTTAGTATTATAATTTAAGCATCTTTAGTGAACTGTAATTGCATTGTGATCTTACTTAACAAATCGATATTATTCGAGAAACACTAATATTGTTATTGACTACTATTCTAGAATATTCTATGTATATAGGCATATATATATATAATCGTAGAGCCAGAGAAGGAGGAAATTATCGAAAAGGATATTCTTTGCTCAAACAAAAGTATCAATAGGGTATGGCTATTTTAACTAAACAGTTAAGTATTAGTAAGTTTTGGTTGGAGTAACGTAATAAAAAATCAGTCAAGAAAATTAGGTGTTAGTGAAACTAGTGTAGTAAGAAAGGTGGTGAGTTGTTACAAACAGTTGTTAAAAAGAAGTTATGTAATAATACGAATAGTTTGATGAGTGAGTTTTACTCACGATGCACATATGAACAAAGTAGAGAATACGAAATTACGTAAGAGTTCTAAATGAATACAAGAATTATAAGCAATTAAAGAAACAGGCAAACAAACAAAATGAAGTCATCAAAATCAACAGAGTTGTTACCGTGACAGTAGAAGTGGTTGAGTAATTCTCTTTCGTATGCACAGCTCCGGTTTTTCTATGTGAATGGCCAGAGCTTCAGCGATACAAAGAAGACGAAACCGTATTGCCTTTGGCAGGTTATTCTTAACTCTGTAGATTACTTTGAAGCAGGAGGCGTTTGTTGAGATGGAATGATCAGTGTTAACCAGGTGTTCAATTATCGCACTCTTTATTGCACCACTATTGCCTTTTCGCAACTATGCTGGATAGTGTTCTTGAATCCTCTTGGACAGGGTGCGTGTCGAATGACCGATGTACCTGGCTGGCTCCACAGTAGCAGGTAAACTGATATATGCACACAGAGGTGGTCAAATGCGGGAACTTATCCTTGAGGCTTCTCCAGATCAGTGAGCGACTGGAGAACACGATTTTTAGCGTTGCTGTTAAGAATTTTCTTCTCAGCTATGATGTGATCCTTCTCTTGAGAATATCGCTCGTTAAATCTCCCTTGAAATCCAAGTTGATATAGAGTTTCTTTCTCGGTGCAAGTGAAGTTTCATTTCTCCAAATTCTTCGTTTGATATTTTTGTCAATGAATCTTATTGGGTATCCATTTTGGATGAAGATTTCTCTCAGAATATCTAATTCTGTTTCTATAACATTGGAACTACAGATGCGTCAGATATGTTCTCCTTGGACCCTTTTACAGTTAGATAGTATTCTAATTTTTGCCGATTCGCCATGTGTAACGTCACCACTAGCCATTACCACCGGCGATAATCTGTTCCCATACCCGATTTGATGTACTTCAGTGGTCACAACGTCTCACTAGGCAACTCCAGGCAACCCCATACTACTATGGTGATCAACTACTTATGAGATTATACCTCAAATGAATGGGATTCAGAACATTAGAAATCAAATATCACCTCCACGCTTACTAATTCACGTCTCACTCCGAAGTTACTTACTTGGTGGTTATGTAACGGTAGAAGGCAAGAGACTTGGTAACGAACTTTTCATATAAAGGAAAAACACACCATATTTATACATTTTTAGCCATATTAAAGGTTGGCTAAATCAGTGGATAATAAACTATTCTGATTGGTTGTCGATTTTCTGAAAACTAAACCTTGGCACAAAAAGTTGTCCAATCAGATTATTCCCTGACCACATCGTAAACTAAATTCAGGTGTCTGTCTGTTTTCGACATAGAACTTTCCACCGATGTGCAGCAGTTCAAGTCGCCACACCATGTAACACACAAAGCAAGAGAAGAAAGTAGAAGAAATGCTTAATATAGACAGTAAACAGGGATATGAAACAAAGGAATAGTAATAACGAAGAACAAAACAGTTTCATTGGAAATCATAAGTCACAAGGAGTGGATGCATCTGCACCAGACATTGAGAACGATTTTGAGTCATGTCACCAATTGTTTCCAACCATTGGTTTTTACCGTCCCGAGGACCCCAACCAAGAAGCAAGTCCTACACCTTCCTACGTGGCTAAGACTAATTGTTGTAGATTTCATTGACTGGTGCCATGTTTTGATTTGACCGCCGCTAGCTCTCTTCTAGCCTGACCCTATGTCAGTTAAAATTGCCTGTCAGTCGAGGAAGGCGATGACTAGGCAGGCATGCGTAACACATGTCCTAACCATCTCAGTCGATGTAGCTTTACAGCCTCGTCGACTGATTTCCCCTCCCACCTACCTAGCACTTGACCGAGGCTTAACCTCAATATTGCTCACCTTATTATACCACTTCACAGGGGAGATAGAACGCAGACACCTATGATCGAAGACAGCTAATCTTTTCATGTCTTCCGCTCTCAAAGGCCAGGTCTCACTGACCGCCATAAAGGCGGACGGAGCGGACTGATGAGCAGTACACACGCCCTTTGGTCGATTGCCAGCAGGGTATCACGTCTACTATGCCAGAGACGGCGTAAACTGGCATATGCGAAACTAGCCCTCTGTATTCGTGCTGAGATTTCGTCAGGTGCAAAGAATAAACACTTCTACCTCTGTAACCAGCTATTGACTTAAAATGTTGTTTTCAACTTTGGCTGTTTCTTATCAATCTGCATCTATATATACTACTGATAAATCTTGTCAGTAGTACACGCAACAGTTGCACCATGTGTGAATAATGTTGTGGAAACATTTATAGAAAAAAAAATACGTGTAATCTATGTTGTTCTTCTACTTTTAATTTCCGGATAAAAGTAAAACATTCTACTGAGGAATAAGTACACTCATTTTTTAGAAGTTTAGTTGCCAATTATGTGTTAGTCATCTTCAGACTGGAATAATGTCTTATATATATATATATATATATATATATATATATATATATATATATATATATGTATATAAGAATAATTAAGGCGTTGGTTTTTGTATCCTAGACGGATCGATAGGCATCATGAGTCACTTATGCGAATATGGGCATTTAAGCTAAGGAAATTATCGAAATACTCCAAAGTTAAAAAAAAGCACATTTATAAACTTGAACAAAGCAAGAACAACAATTGTACCAGAAGATAATATGAGCTCATCTTTTATTATTTCGAGGATTCTTCTCAACTGGTTACAACCTGAACGATAAAAAATATGAATTACATTACATTAAAGATTTGAACATACTTTTCCACTATCACAAGGAGTAAGTAATTGGTAGGAGGTAAAAGTAACATTAGTCCGGAATGATTTAACTAATTACGAGTTACAAACACTGACTATTTATGGAATAATTAGACAATTAGGCTTGGAAACAAAAAATAGAGTTGCGTATATATATATGTGTGTGTATAGAAACAAGGTTTAGCTAGAAAGAGCATAACAAAAAAGTAGATTACGTAACTAAAGAAAATGTTTTATCTAACAGCCAATAGAAAGAAAGAAGAGAAAAGAACAAGGTAGGGTGAGTCATGTTTAGATGAGAGAGTAAAGTTTTCTAAACAAGAAAAAGGGTGACTCATAAAAGTTGTATATTTTGTTATCAACAGGGCAGTGCAAGATTCACCACTGTCTCTTTCTGCGTACATAGATTTGGTTTAAGTCGTTTGATAGCAATTGCTTCAGCAAAGCGTAGCAAGCTAGGTTTCTTTTGTTTGTTGGTTATTTTGAACGACTTCAGGTTGTCTACAATATAACCAGTGTCTAATAGATGACGTGCAATCGCACTGTTTAATGCTTGTGGACCTTTCAGTCCCAGGTTCTTTGGTATGTGTTCAGAAATGCGGACAATAACCCTTCACTCTCTGTTCTTCCAATGTATGTGCTTTGGCACGTACATGTATCTTGGTAGACACAGTTGGAGGTAACATGAGGTAGGTACTTGTCCACTTTTGTTTATCTCAAACAACTAGTTGTTTTATAAACACATACAAGCTTGGCGGCTGGATATGTTCTTTTCAGGGCAGCGATCAGTCTGCTCTTTACGTCTGTAAATATATCCCCTAAAAGTGATAACAATATTTGCCATTATTTATCCCTTTGAGTTCTTAATGAAACATATAATTTTGAGTTTCTCTGACTTTTCAAGAGCGGTGGTTTTGTTTCTTCATCGAGTGACGATGTTAGCGTCACTTGTCACCTTTCCTCTTTTTATGTGCTTATTACCGCCTGGGCAGAGTTTAGCAGGACATCGTCCGGGAATCAAGCTTGGACCACTTGCCAGCGTACACATATTTTAGTTATAATGAAAGAATATAATTAAATCGAAGAATAAAAACTGCTCAACAACTGTGTTACCTACTTGTTTGAATTTATTTTGAGTTTCCTTTGGATTGATTATGGTCGATTGAAATTTTCAATCGGCTCTTAGCGCGGAAGCTTCAAAGATACACGAGGATCGAGATGATGTTATTTGGTGTATGGTGACTACCGATGGAGTCCAGGATGCTCATTTCGTTCTATTTGAGACTCACAAGCTGGAGGTACCTAGAGTTCCAGTGGGTGTTACTGTCCCCCATCGAGACTCGAAACTAGCACTTATCGTTACAAATACCAAAGCATTATCATGACCTAGTGGATACTGTTTGAGAATTGGAAATGTTCAGTGCTGGGTTCGGTCCCAGTGGGAACACCACCAGTCCCACGAGAATGTAGGTACATTCAGATGACGAGTCCCAAATAGGATTAGATACGCACACAGGATTTCACCTCTAGACACTATCAGGCAGGATTATTCTCACAGTATACATTTCTCAAAATCTATCTAGGATATTTTGAGATCAACAGCGTTGTGTTTTTTCATTTTCTTTGGCAGACGTCGTTTCTCTCACCTACTCCAAATAATAAATCGTATGTCTTAACAAAAACATTAACATCAGACAACAGTATAAGAAATGTCAAATCATCTATTGACTTGATGAAGGATATCAATGAGGAGAATTTAATGTCACACAGATCAAAATGTTTTACTCCAGAGGTGCATATTTCACCACCTTTAGCCTCATCCAGTGTATCCAACTCAGTAAGTGGTATAACTTTAGGTTTTCTATCGTTTCTCATATATATTTCTCTACTACTATTAATTTTGTAAGTAGTTAATTCTTTTTCATAAAAATTAAGCTGGCGTAAATTTTGTAGGTGTTAAATATCATTAAAAATAAAACAATTCCAACAGTTAGTGTGATCACGGGCAGTAATTTTACTCGAAATATTAACAAAAACAAAAAAAACTTATCATTGTGTGTAAACTATTGAAATATCATTGTGATTTATTTCATCTATTCCACAATGCTCAAACTTTTTACTGACATTAGTTTATGTCAGAATAGTGTTTGAAATTAAACATTTTCAAATCTTATATTGGTGCACAATCAACAAATCTTCATGCAACAGCAGAAAAAGGATCTCCAACTATCACAGGAAGGCAGTTAGTATTCACTCTCAAATTTGAGGTCTAAAAGACCATCTATTTGACAGTTAGGTGTTGATTTGCAGAGATTTGGATGGTTACAGAATGAGCTAGACATCGGCTAGAGGAACACTGGAAACCGTCATCGGTGGTGAGTGTTTATCCTCACACCCTAACCTGCTGTATTCCACTGTTCATGACTTCTCACCAGAACCCAGGTAACTGTCTACCTGAATAGGATCCAATTGCTTATTATTCTACGAGCTCTCCATGTAACTGGAAGATCCTGGGTTCGAACCCCCGTGGTTGCATACTACTGAAGAGTCTCAATCTGGGAGAAAACAGCTGTATTATTGTAATCTCGTGTCTTTCAAAGGTTTTCTAGCCGATGTTAGTCAGCTCATGATGAAAATCCTGTAACCATCTATTTTTATTTTTATTATTTTTGATTACAGCTTGATTCCATACCGTATTTTTTGGTACAGGTATGGAGTTTTCAACATATGTTATCGGTAGCCCAACTTTTGCAGGCCGACCATAGAAATCAGGTGTGCTTCGGCAGATGATCGAACCCCGGACCATGTGCATGATCGGCGAGAGTCATAACCACTGTGCCAATGACGCACAAAATACTTTGATGGAAGTCAGCTCTTTCACTCACTTAGGTAACATCTGTTCAGCTACAGGCAGTACAGACAAGGATTTCAAAACCAACCAGGATGAGAAATTCAAAACGAACCTAAATTACTCTAACATCAGTGTGAAAATCTGCTGTATTCAGCGTAAGGAACAATACCAATGTCAATTTAGTGCTTCTATATGTTACAGAGACTTGACATGTGTCACAAAAACCAACAACTCCCTTCGCCCTACGTTGATGATTGAGTGGCCACGCAGAAAGTATGAGCAACAATGGGAATGCTATCGCTAAACCAATCAACAATTTATCGCCCAACAAACATTGATGAATTAAAATACAGATGGATCGGACACACATGGAGAAGACCGTTATGAGTCACCATGTACTAGATGATCGAGTGGAATCCGACTGAAAAGCAATGAGTTGGTTGGATGTCCTAGGATGATATAGAGGAGATCGTGTGAGGAAGAAATGAAAGCTCATGGTGAATCGTACAGTTAGCGAAGAAAGGTTGAAGAATACAGAAAAAAATTGATGTGTCCTGGTGAAACCCAATGTTTTTACTTGGAACATAATAATAATATAGTCACATAACCTCATAGATGGTTCATTCACTACATACTTCATGAGCATGTATTCTCACTTCAGACCCTTCCCTTAATGTCTCATCATCGAAAGATACGGAAATACATCTAGAAGAGAGTTTTCCCAAGGAACATGGCTCTATTATTCTTATTAATCTTGAAGGTTTCTGCGGTGATACACGATACACGAGCAGCTAAGATTTTGAATATACGCTCTAATAGATTTAGAGCCCTAAGTTGTGTATGATATATGTCTGCTTTCCCACAAACTGAAAGATATGCAAGCGAAAAGCAACAAGTTGGTAGAAGAAGCATCCAGTGAAGATAGGACTTCAAGTGAACATAATGGAAACAGAGGTGATGAAGATTCCTGGACAAGAACAACAACAACAGACAACGATCAGCATAAATGGGAGGAACCTGAAAGAAACAACCTCCTTTACCTACCTACCTGGGAAGCATCGTTTCAACTACAGGCGGATGGAACTGACGAGGATATCAAAGCGAAAATCGGGAAAGCAAGACAAGCCTTCACTACTCTCAAGTCTGTGTGGAGAGGGTCAACAGCACTACTCAGCACCAAAAATAAGATCCGGATTTTCAACTCCGGTGTGAAGTCAGTGCTACTATACGGATCAGAGACTTGGCCAGCGCATCATAAAGAGCATCTCAAACCAATTACAGACCTTCATTAACAGTTGTCTTCGCTCAGTACTCAAGACCAGAGGCCGGCCAGAAAAGATCAGCAACAGAGATCTCTGGCAATGAGCGAACCAACCCAGTAGGAACCGATTCTGAAACAAATAATCAGGAAGAAATGGAGATGGATTGGTTGGTCATCCTCTGAGGAAACCAACCATCAAGTGACATCACTAGACAAGCCATTGCTCGACTGGAACCCGAAAGGGAATCGGCGAGTTGGTCGTCAGAGCAAGAGTGGGTGACTTGGAGGAGGTCATGTGAAGAGGAGATGAAAGCGTGTGGGCAGACTTGGAGCCAGGTGAAGACTCTAGCAGGGAACCGAACGCAATGGAGATGCATGGCTGAAGCCCTATGTTCCTCTAGGAATTAAAGGAAACAGTAGTAAGTAATAATAAAGTTGTGTATTGCTGCTTGACTCATACAATCAGGTAAAGAAGTAGAGGTGTTTTCCGCAAAGTCTAATTCCTAATGTCTGATTGGCTAACATCGATCCTTAAAGTAAACGATTCTAAAACAGAAAAACGTTTTACAGCAACACTGTAAATTTTTTGTTTTTTATGTATATTATCTTTCCAGGTGAAAAATAACTCCATCAGTGGAACATTAGAATCTTCTAGTAAAAATCCTGCAAAATCAATCACTGCTAGTGACTTTGATACAGTTCAAGAAAATCCTGATGTTCTCAAATGGGATTATGCTGGTGATTTAGCCTCAAATCGATTAGATATTTCAAGAATCAATTCACAATTGAATATTTCTTCTTCTTCCTGTTGTTCTTCTCGTCCAATCAATCTACCTATTGATTATATCGATTATGATACAAGTGTTGCATTGACATGGCCATCTTCTGGTGTTCACCTGTCACCGCCATCAAGATATGGTTATCTATTACACAGAAAGTGTAATTTCAATAGAACATTGAATCATAATAATTTGTGTAATTATTTTTTAAGAAAAAATCGATATGGTAAGTTTACATTTTTTTCCTTCACGTTCCCCAGTGGAACATAGGGCTTCAAGCTAGTGACTTGAAGTTTCTGTAGCAGTGTTTATTTTTACAGGATGGGGTTGCTAGCCTCATGCCCAACCTTTCCTCTTCACCAGCATTATTTCTGGTTAACGAGGTAAAGGAGTGCGTCTGTGGCCGGGGATCGAACCCGGGACCATGTGCATGATCGGCGAGCGTCCTAACCGCTATACCACCGACGCACAATTATCAATTATATAATTATTTAATTTTATGAAATGCATTATTATGCTATTCTGATTACCTCCTTTAGTTCGTAGAGGAACATAAGGCTGTTATCGGTCACAGGTCTCAGCCAACGTTTTCATCACCTGGCTCCCGTCTGCCCACATGCTTTCATCTCCTCTTCGAATCACCTCCTCCTCCTCTATATCACCCTCGCACTGATGACCAACTCGCTGTTTCCCATTCGGGTTCCACTGGAGATAGAGCCTAGAGTGTGATGTCACTGGATGATTTGTTTCCTCACAGTATAGTCTCCAATCCACCTCCATTTCTTCAGTAAACAAGTAGATTAAATTACTACTCACGTTTTGGTTTGCAAGGATTTGATTGATTGCACGATTTTCATCATGAGCTGACGTCGGTTAGAGAAACACTGGAGAGAGAGAGAGTACTGGACATATCTGTTTCGTCAGCCCTAGTTTGGGACTCTTCAGCAATACAGCGACACCCACTGCAGAGTTCGGACCAGAGACCTTCCGGTTAAAAGGTGAACGCATAGGCCATTCGGCCTTGTGGAATTCAATCCAATGGCCAGCCCATGAATTCCAACTTCTGCCAATTTACGATATGGCGCAACTGGCACTAGGTAATGTCATCGGTGCCAAGTATTTGTCCTCACACCTGACCTGGGTATTATATTAGTTGAAGTCTAATGTAAATTATGTATTCAATACATTGAGAGATACTTCTACAAAAATTTTGGTTAATTATTTGCAGTTTGGTTGTACATTAAGTGGGAATTAACGATGCAAGATTACTGATTCTGCTATTCATACTACTTATTTCATATGTCTGGTTATAATTCAAGACAATAAAATAATGTCTAGTTTATATTCATTTTTTGTATTACAGCATTAGTACTAGTAAGTGGCAATTACGTAATCCTAAGATTGGATGAACGTTTCGCTAAAATAACTCCTTGTTATTGAGACATATTATCGGATATCAACTAACATATTGATTAAGGAAGGATTAAGCAGTCAGGACACCAAGAATATGAGATGATCATTTCTCAACCCCTCCTCGCTACTATCGATTAGTAGAGAGATGGATTTCTTAGAATTTTATCTCAAACTTATGACTTTTGACTTGGATCGTGTTGACTGACTGACTGACTTTGCACAGATGTACAGCAGTTCAAGTTGCTATTGTCCATGCAGCACACAAAGAAAGAGAAGACAGTAAAGGGAGGTTCAAAAGAGAGATAATAAACAGAAGTGTTAGGGGAAAAATAGTGTAATAAACTAGAACAGCAGACTATTATGGGTTATGACATATTACAAAGAGCAAATGTGTCTGAGCCATCATTGAGAACAATTTTGAACCATATCACGAATTTCCTCCAGCCTTCATTGGTTCTAACTACCCAGAGGATCCCAACCAGTCAGGAAGTCTACACCTCTCTACGTGGACGGCTTAAACTAACTGCTATGGTTTTCATTGACTGACGAAACCATGGTTTGGTTTGTCCACCACTAGCTCTTTTCCAACTTGATCTTATATCAGCTAGCATTGTCCGTCAAGGAATGTGATTCGGGTCATATTAGGTAAGAAGACAACTAGGTATCAATGAAATTCGACAGAAATGGTATTGATTTCAGTCTGTCGTTAGATCAATAATTAGAACCCGATCCAACGGCCAGCCCATGAATTCTAACTTCTACCAATTCACGACACAGCGCAACTGGCACTAGCCAGTGTCATCGGTGGCAAGTATTTGTCCTCACATCTGACCCGCTGTACCCCACTAGTCACGACTTTTCACTAGAACCCAGGTAACTTCTTACTAGTCACTAGTGAGAATCAGAGTGGTATTCAAATGTTGGTCTGTGAGGATTTGATTGGTTACGGGATAAAGGCTTCAAACTTCTTTAGTTTAAAAAAATAGGCGGTTTTGTTTTCCTAAAGGATAAAGTTCTTATCCTCACACGTAAACTTCCTTTTCTAACATGCTAACTAACTGCTAGTAAGTTAGGCGATGTGTAGGAATGCATCTACAGGGAATCGAGCGCTGACCGTCTGTGTGTGTGTGGTTGGCAATCAATTTACCAGTGAATCACCGACGCATACAACATCTATCTTGGTTAACTGAATTAACAACCCTTTCAAGGATTGAACGCAGGAGTTTCAAGGTACAAGGTGAGCTTGCTGATCATTTAACCACCATTTAACAACACAACAACTGATATCAGCTCATGATGAAATCCTCCAACCAATCAAACACAATCCCTAAAAGACTAGCGACCGGCCCCATTCAGTCAGTTTATCTGGGGTTCTAGTGAGAAGCCGTGACCAGCAGTGCACATCACGTTAAAGGTGAGGCAGTAACTCATCGAAGAAGATATTGCGAAGTGGTCGCGCTATGTCATGAGTGAATTGACAGAAGTTAGAATTCATGAACTGGCCAGTGGCTTAATGGTCTATGAGCTAGCTCGCCTTATAACCAGAAGCTCCTGGGTTCGAAATCCTGTGGTGAGGTGCGTACTGCTGAAGAGTCACGAACCAGGCTGATGAAACAGCTGTCTAGCAGTACTTCCAGGTTTTCCAATGGTTCTCTAACTGATGTCAGCTCATGACGAAACCCTTCATCTAATACCATTTCACTGCAATATTGAATGCTGAGCATAAGTAATTATAGGTAGGCGTTGTAGTAGGCAATGAGGGCAAAGTTAAACTTTAAGCACCGCTAACTGCCAAAAATCAGCGAATGACCTCGAATGCACCAATCACGGGAAGGCGGCATTTTTGTGTATGGAATACATATATTTATGAAATAATGCACAAAAGAAAACTGTACAAAAGTGTTACAGAGGATATAACTTTCTCTCACATGTGATAAAAAGAGCTCTGAGTTTTAGATTGGAGTATCAACAGAGTATAATTCGATTGTGGGTAAAATTTATTTTGATAAAGTCTCATAGTGTAATACAGTAATATCTACTGAGCAATAAATTGTGCTCAAAACGTCGTCATCAGTAAATATAACTGTATAACACCGTGAGACTTTATCAGAATAAATTTTACCCACAATGGAATTATACTCTACCACAGTGCACGAGTATTACTCTTATATCAACAGAGTAATTTAACCACATTCTATGCATGTAATTATTTAGGTCGTCTTATTATTATTATTGTTTCCTTTAATTCCTAGAGGAACATAGAGATTCAACCACGCAAGTCTCCATTGCGTTCGGTTCTCTGCTAGAGTGTTCACCTGGCTCCAAGTCTGTCCACACGCTTTCTTCTCCTCTTCACATGACCTCCTCCAAGTCACCCACTCTTGCTCTGACGACCAACTCGCCGCTTCCCTTTCGGGTTCCAGTCGAGCAATGGCTTGTCTAGTGTGATGTCACTTGATGGTTTCCTCAGAGGATGACCAGCCAATCCATCTCCATTTCTTCCTGCCTATTTGTTTCAGAATCGGTTCCTACTGGGTTGGTTCGCTCATTGCCAGAGATCCCTCCCTGTTGCTGATCTTTTCTGACCGGTCATCTGATCTTGAGTATTGAGCGAAGACATCTATTAATGAAGGTCTGTAATTGGTTTGAGATGCTCTTTATGATGCGCTGGCCAAGTCTCTGATCCGTATAGTAGCACTGACTTCACACCGGAGTTGAAAATCCGGATCTTATTTTTGGTGCTGAGTAGTGCTGTTGACCCTCTCCACACAGACTTGAGAGTAGTGAAGGCTTGTCTTGCTTTCCCGATTTTCGCTTTGATATCCTTGTCAGTTCCACCCGCCTGTAGTTGAAACGATGCTTCCCAGGTAGGTAGGTAAAGGAGGTTGTTTCTTTCAGGTTCCTCCCATTTATGCTGATCGTTGTCTGTTGTTGTTGTTGCTGCTGTTGGTGGTGTTGGCCAGGAATCTTCATCACCTGTGTTTTCTCTCCTATCTTCTCTGGATGCTTGTTCTGCCAACTTGTTGCTTTTCGCTTGCATATCTTCCAGTTTGTGGGAAATCAGACATATATCATCGGCGAAGTCCAGATCCTCGAAGTCTTGTGTGTGAGTCCATTTTATGCCTGTTTCCTCATTGCCCACTGTTTGTCGCATTATCCAATCTACTGCAATCAGGAAAATCATTGGCGATAGTAGGCAGCCAGCTTGTCTTTCTCCTGTCTTCACTTCGAAGGATTCCGTAAGTTTCCCATTGTGGATTAATTGGCATGCAGCATTGTCGTACAGCTGTTGGATGAGATGTATAATTGTCGGTGACACCCCATAGTAGCGAATTAGTTTCCAAAGCACCTCTCGATCGACGCTGTCGAAGGCCTTTTCAAAGTCGGTGAAGTTGAGATAGAGAGGTGACTGCCATTCCAAGCTTTGTTCAATGATGATCCGTAATGTGGCGATCTGATCATTACATGACTTGTTTCTCCTGAATCCAGCTTGTTCCGGTCGAAGTTTTTCATCCAGAGCTTGTTTGATTCTCTCCAGGATGATGCGGCTTAGTGTTTTGCTTGGGATGGACAGGAGCATAATTCCGCGCCAGTTCTTGCATTGACTTAAGTCTCCTTTCTTTGGTAGTTTGAATAAGTATCTTTTCTTCCAATCGTCGGGTACTTTGCCTTCTTTCCACACCTTCTCCAGTAGTGGTGTCATCAAGTACGCTGTTGTCTCTGGGTCCATTTTGAATGCTTCTGCTGGGATTCCATCTGGTCCTGCTGCTTTTCCAGCTTTAAGCATCCTGATTGCCTTCAGGACTTCTGATTTCGTCGGAGGGTTGGTGTTCACTAGTAGCTCTGTCTCCGTTGTTGGTATTGTTGGGTGCGTTGTAGGTGGTGGTTGATTAAATTACTACTCACGTTTTAGTTTGCAAGGATTTGATTGATTGTTTACACGATTTTCATCATGAGTTGATGTCGGTTAGAGAACCACTGGAAACCACCAGACAGGGGTAGAGTACAGGACATATCTGTTCGGTAACCCCTAGTTCGGGACTGTTCATCAGCACTAACCCACTGTGGGGTTCAGACCAGGGACCTTCCGGTTACAAGGTCAACTCATGAGCCATTAAGCCTCTGGGATCCAATCTAATGGCCAGCCCAAGAATTCCGACTTCTACCAGTTCAGGATACAGCGCGACTGGCACTAGCCAATGTCATCGGTGGGAAACTTTTGTCCTCATACCCAACCTGCTGTACCGTACTGGTCACAACGTCTCACTAGAACCCAGGTAACTACTTACTAGTCACTAGTGAGAATCAGAGTGGTATTCAAATGTTGGTTTGCAAGGATTTGATTGGTTACGGGATTATTGTTAGTTTTCATTATCGTTCTTTTCGTTCCGAGTGGGATAAAGGCTTCAAACTTTTTAAGTTTAAAAATTTGGTTGGTTTTGTTTTCTTAAGGGATGAAGTTCTTACCCTCACACGTAAACTTCCTTTTCTAACATGCTAACTAACGGCTAGTAAGTTAGGCGCGATGTGTAGGAGTGCATCTACAGGGAATCGAACGCTGACCGTGTGTGCGTTTGTGTGTGGTTGGCAATCAATTTTTACCAGTGAATCACCGACGCATACAACATCTATCTTGGTTAACTGAACTAACAACCCTTTCAAGGATTGAACGCAGGATTTTCAGGGTAAAAGATGAGCTTGCTGATCGTTTAACCACCATTTAACAACACAACAATTGATATCAGCTCATGATGAAATCCTCCAACCAATCAAACACAATCCCTAAAAAATCAATACTTGAAAATTCACCTGATGTTCACTAGCGACTGGCCCCATTCAGTCAGTTTATCTGGGGTTCTAGTGAGAAGCCATGACCAGTAAGGCACATCAGATTGAAGGTGAGGCAGTAACTCATCGAAGAAGATATTGCGAAGTGGTCGCGCTATGTTATGAGTGAATTGGCAGAAGTTAGAATTCATGGACTGGCCAGTGGCTTAATGGTCTATGAGCTAGCTCGCTTTATAACCAGAAGCTCCTGGGTTCGACCATCCTGTGGTGGGTGCGTACTGCTGAAGAGTCACGAACCAGGCCGATGAAACAGCTGTCTAGCAGTACTTCCAGGTTATCCGATGGTTCTCTAACTGATTTCAGCTCATGACGAAACCCTTCATCTAATACCATTTCACTGCAATATTCAATGATGAGCATAAGTAATTATAGGTAGGCATTGTAGTAGGCAATGAGGGCAAAGTTAAACTTTAAGCACCACTAACTACGACCAATCAGCGAATGACCTCGAACGCACCAATCACGGGAAGGCGGCATTTTTGTGCATGGAATATATATATTTATGAAATAATGCACAAAAGAAAACTGTACAAAAGTGTTACAGAGGATACCTTTCTCTCACATGTGATAAAAATAGCTCCAAGTTTTAGGTTGGAGTATCAACGGTGTATAATTCCATTGTGGGTGAAAATTTATTTTGATAAAGTCTCATAGCGTAATAAAGTAATATTTACTGAGCAAAAAATTGTGCTCAAAACGTCGTCATCAGTAAATATAACTGTATAACACCGTGAGACTTTATCAGAATAAATTTTACCCACAATGGAATTATACTCTACCACAGTGCACGAGTATTACTCTTATATCAACAGAGTAATTTAACCACATTCTATGCATGTAATTATTTAGGTCGTCTTATTATTATTATTGTTTCCTTTAATTCTTAGAGGAACATAGGGCTTCAGCCGCCCACGTCTCTATTGCGTTCGGTTCTCTGCTGCAGTCTTCACCTGGCTCCAAGTCTGTCCACACGTTTTCATCTCCTCTTCACATGACCTCCTCCAAGTCACCCACTCTTGCACTGACGACCAACTCACCGCCGCTTCCTTTTCGGGTTCCACTCGAGCAATGGCTTGTCTAGTGTGATGTCACTTGATGGTTTGTTTCCTCAGAGTATGACCAGCCAATCCATCTCCATTTCTTCCTGCCTATTTGTTTCACAATCGGTTCCTGCTGGGTTGGTTCACTCATTGCCAGAGATCCCTCCCTGTTGCTGATCTTTTCTGACCGGCCATCTGATCTTGAGTATTGAGCGAAGACAACTGGCTATTAATGAAGGTCTGTAGTTTGTTTGAGATGCTCTTTATGACGCGCAGTGCAAGTCTCTGATCCGTATAGTAAGTGGCACTGACTGACTTCACATTGGAGTTGAAAATCTTGATCTTATTTTTGATGCTGAGTGCTGTTCCGCCTGTAGTTGAAACGATACTTCCCAGGTTAGGTCTTCTTAACCTAACAATAACCCTAATCTTTACTGAACCTCACCCTAACGTGAAAAAATCCCTAAACTAACTGTAATGCAACTCAAACCAACCCTAATGTCGCCTTTATTAGGTTAAGCTAACCCTAACTGGTCCTTGGTTTAAAGAGTAACTTAATCTTTCTCAAACCTAAACTGAAACTTGCCAGATATCCTACTTAATAGCATAACACTTCGATGAGCATATTTTATTGAGGATGACAATATAATTTGCCAGGTTTCACTAACTTGCTCAGTGAGCGTTTCAGAGTCATTAGCGTGGTCGCACTCCATTGTTAGTTGTTAGTGGTGCTTAAAGTTTAACTTGGCCGCAATTAACTATGGTAATATCCTCTACCTTTTAACTGCTTTTATTTACTTTCTCTCTCTGTGTTTTTGTGTATTTTCTAAAGGAATAAAAATTGAAACTGGCCTATCGACAACTGCCCTATCTGCTGGTGTATTAAATCAAGGTTCATTTATATCAAGTCCAGATCCTGAAGACGACGAAGCGGTGTACAATTCATTACCTTTACATTCCGGTGATAATCCTCTTAGCGCATATAAATATCATAATCGTTATCGCCATGATCACCATGGTTATCAAGGTCAGCATCATCACTACAGTCAATCACCAATCAATTTTCACGACATATTAGATGATGATTTAGAAAGTGATGAAAACTCACAAAAACTTACCTCGAAAACAAGTAATAGTAATGACCACCTCCAGGAACATCGGGAAGGAGAAGAAGAAGATAAAGAAGGAACTGACGACAACGATAACGATGATGATAAGACGAATGATTGTGATGAAATGAAATTCGAGCTACCCACAGAGTCTGTATTCAACACCAACGAAAATAACACAGTGAATGTGACTTTAAATCAAATTTGTTTGAATACCAGTGAATCGGTGACAGAACTGCAAAATTTCGCTAATCGTATTTTAAAGGCAACTGAAGCCGCAGAGGAACAACTTAGACAACGTATCAATCATTTGTCCGCTGTAATGGATAAAACAATTGTCAGCGATAGTAAATTCCAGGAGGAAAAGTCAATAGATAAACCACCTGAACCACGTGCTCGAACATCATTGGCATGTCAGTCAATTGGGTGTACTGATGGTGCGCCGTATCAATCTCTCCGGAGGGATGATAATAAACAAGAGGTTAGATTCAGTGTACTTGTTTGTACTGTTTATTATTTTTGCCTGAGATTGTTTTAATTCTTAGTACCATTTGCTATTAGTGTTTTTTTTTGAAGTCTCAATTGGAATATAGTGTAACAACAGAAGACAAGGGCCAGGGAACAGATTGTTTATTTGGGAAGTCAACGGATGTTTATAGATTTTCATGTACATTATTATAGATTATTGTAAGGAAACAAACACAGTCTTCTGATTGGTTGTTTCTCACAGAAAGTTAACCTTGCATCTCTTTGAGGCCATTTCTTTAATGGTCAGACTATATATCTGCAAATTGTATCCGCCTACGCAAAGTCTGCTGTGATTGGTTGTTGAGTCAGTCTTTGTTCTTGTTCTTTTCTTATGACCAATATTGGGGACGTAAATATTGACGTGTAAATTACTGTCTACCAATTTTGGCTAGCAGACAGCTCTCACCATAACAGATCTTCAGCAATAAGTACACATCACTATTTCACTTTGTTTTCTTCAGTTCTTCCTAGCTGGCTCCATGACTGACTGTTGGCGCTTTCATCTTCTCCTCCTCTTCTCCCTGTTGATACGATCTCCTGTAAGTCATCCTTGGACAGTTGCCTAACTTGTTCTTTCCTATTCGGGTTATACTTGAGGGCTTTCCGGATGCCGGATATCACTCAATGGTCTCTTGCCCCTATGAACTACATGACTGATTGGCTGACTGACTGGTTACAACATAGAACTTTGCACCGATGTGCAGCAGTCAGAGTTGCCACACTTCACTCAGCACACAAAACCAGAGATGAAAAAGAAAGTAAATAGAAACGCAAAATAAAGACAGTAAACAGAGATATGAGGCAAAAAGAATAGTAATATCGAAGAACAATATAGTTTTATTGGATATTATAAGTCACAAGGAGTGGATGCATCTGCGCCAGCCATTGAGAACGATGATATTGAGCCATATCACAGATTGTCTCCAGCCTCCATTGAAATTTATCATCCCGAGGACCCCAACCAGGATGCCAGTCTACACCTTCCTACGTAACCGGCTGGCTGGCTTAAACTAACTGATGTGGATTTCATTGACTGATGAAGCCATGTTTTGGTTTGACCACCACTGGCTGACTCTTTTCCAACCTGACTCTATGTCAGCTAACATTACCCGTCGAGGAAGGTGATCGATGGCCAGTTATGCGTAACACATGTCCTAACCATCTCAGTCGATGTAACTTCACAGCCTCGTCTATTGATTTCCCATTGGAACATTAGAATCAAACAAGAATTGTCTCCATGTAAAATTATGTATTTAAATGCGATTGTACAGCTTTTGAAAATGAAATCGCCGAAAAGATATCTTTGCTGAACTTCTTGTTCTTCTCAATCTAATATTGATTTCCCCTCCCACCTACCTAGCACTCGACCTCTGCCTAACCTCAATATTGCTTACCCTACTATACAACTTCACACGGGAGATAGAACGTAGGCACCTATAATCAAAGACATCTAGCTAGCGTCTGGGAAGTGTCTCAGCCTTCTTTTAGTGCTTATAATGCACCAAGCTTATGTTTCAGTGATTGCAGTTCGTTTGCAGTTTTAAGTACAATGCATTCCTTCTAATTATATCAAGGTTATCAAATAACTTTGTAACTGGCCTTTTCAGTTTGATTTTGCATTTTTGCATGTCTTATATTTAGGGGTCTGAGGAGTTGGAGATGAATTATTCTAAGACCTGATACCAAGGTTCAGCCTGCTAAATTTGGGCAACCGACATCACATACTAAAAATTACATACTTGTATCAAAAATACTGTGTGGATGGGTTCGGTGAACGGATATTCAGTGGTCATCTGGGGGAAATTTTTCCAAACTTATAAATTAAAATTGTGGTGAGAGCTGTTTGCTAGCTAAAGTTGATAGACAGCAATTGACGTCAATGTTTACGTCCCAAATCTTGCTCATGAGAAAAAAAAAACAATAACAAAGCCTAACCTTGTGGAACTCAACAACCAATCACAGCAAACTTTGCGTGGGCGGATACACTTCACAGATATATATCACCGGACTGTCTAAGAAACAGCCACAAAGAGATGACAGAATAACCTTCAACGAGAAATCAACCGATCAGAAGACGTTGCTTCTCTGCTAACAATAACGAATGAGAATGTACATAAAATTCTGTAGATATTTGTTGATTTCCTCAGAAAACGATCTGTTTCCTAGCCCTTGTCTTCTGTCGTTCCAATGGTATGCCACTTGTACATTTGACTGACAGAATTCAATGTGTGATGATATTAGATGGTTGAAGGCAATCGGCAGGAAGTCTTGGACCTAGGTTTCGTGCTAGTTGGCACTCAACAGTCAGCAAGGCGTATCTGCAAACTTGAAGAAACTTATGTCCTTTATGAGATTCGAACCCGCGTCACCCAGTGCTGCCTGCAGTCAGAGACGTTACCACTGAGCTATTCAGGCTCGCGATTGACCTCTTGTAGGACTGTAGTGGATATTTTGATTTGACACTAATGGCCACATTACAACCTGACTGATAGAATTCAGTCTGCACCAAAGAGAGGACTAGATGCATCACACTAGTTACTAGTGTCAAATCAAAAGAATTCAATCTGCGCCAACACCACAGACTAGACGCATGACAATAGACATTAACTAGTTTCCATTGACAGTATCCATCACAGTTCAACTAGAGGTCAGTAACGAGGCTGAATAGCTCAGTGATGACGTCTCTGATTGCAGTACTATGTAAACCGGATTCGAACCTCGGAAGGACCATGTGTTTCTTCAAGATTGCAGATACGCCTTGCTGGTCGGTGAGTGCCAACAAGCACGAAATCTTGGTTAAGCAGGTCTTCTTGCCGATTGCCTCTAACCATCTTATATCATCAAATCAATGTGCTTAGTGATGGCGAGCTACCCAGTGGCATGGTGGCCATATTGCAAAACCTGACTGACCGATAGAATTCAGTCTACACCAAACAAAGGCCTAGACACATCACACTAGTTACTAGTGTCCAGTCAAGAGTTCAATCGCGAGCCTGAATAGCTCAATGGTAACGTCTTTGACTGCAGGCAGCAATGGGTGATGCGGTTTCGAATCTCAGGAGGGACATGAGTTCCTTCAAGGCAGTTGCAGATACGCCTGTCTTGCTGACTGGTGAGTGCCAACTAGCACGAAATCTAGGTCAAGAGAGCAAGGCTTCCTGTGGCTGATTGCCTTCAACCATCTAACATTACCGAGATTTCTTTGATCACCTTGGTAAAAATGTGTAGAGGTATCCTATTAGCCTATTTTAGTAAAATGAACTTTAAGTAAGTTATCGCTCCATTATGGATAAGATTTTATTTTGATAAATCACATAATATTAACTGATGACCACCTTCCAAGCACAAACTATTCCTCATAATCATATCAAGTTACTCACACAACTTTTTTTCCTTCATTTATATACGTGAGTGGAATTGATGATTAGACATTTGAATAAAAATCAATATGGGATAATGTACATCCAGAAATAATAATAATATGAGTGTTATCAATCAAATACAATCAGATGGGAAATAAGACGAGTGTTTTATAGTCCAAATAAGTAACTTGTTAGAATGTTGTGATGTACGTGAACTGAATTGAAATAGAATTTTGAGATTATTTATTATCCTCCTCTGATTTGACTGACTGGTGGTAATAATATCTTCAATGCATATCTCTGGTATATTTGCATTGAATCATTTCTGTTGCATGTGTTGGGTGTAGACTCAATGAACCAGGATTCAGTAATCAATCTCTCTCTCGCTCTCCAACTACCTATATTACTTCTTATAATTTTAATCCTCTTCCACCACTCTACTGTGTGGTCATATGTTAATTCATGCAGTGCGATCGCTGAGTTTTGGTCTGAATTACTTATCTTCGTGGGGTCAACCATTCTGACCTTAGCTAAATTCTTATGTTTTGACAATCTGACTACCCCCGTTCTACTAGTTTGACTTATGTCGTTGACCTCATTCACAGTCATTGCACGGTAGGACAGAGTCAAAATTCTTAAAAGTAATACAGGTAGGTGGAGATCGAGAGAGAGATACTGATTACTGAATCCTGGTTCATTGAGTCTACACCCAACACATGCAACAGAAATGACTCAATGCAAATATACCAGAGATATGCATTGAAGATATTATTACCACCAGTCAGTCAAATCAGAGGAGGATAATAAATAATCTCAAAATTCTATTTCAATTCAATTCACGTACATCACAACATTCTAACAAGTTACTTATTTGGACTATAAACACACTCATCTTATTTCCCATTTGATTGTAATTGATCAATAACACTCATATTATTATTTCTAAATGTACATCATATCCTGCAAAAATGCTTCAAGTATGTGGAAACTATTTAAGGAAATCACCGGTGGTAAGCAGATTAACAATATTCCGTATTCTTCTGATGTATGTACTCTTAATAAATCTTTTATTTATTCTCCCTCAAATTCCATGCTTCCCATTATCACTAGTGTTAATAATAGCCCCTTTCCAGGTTTTAACACAAATGATGTTCAAAAGTGCCTCAAGTCTCTGAACCCTTCCCAGAGCTTAGGTCCAGATCATGTACCTAGTATTATTTTCAAAAAGTATTCCGATATTCTGTGTTACCCTCTCACTGATCTGTTTAACCAATCTTTTTCCAGTAATATTGTGCCTGCTGTTTGGAAAGACATTAAAGTTGTACCCGTACCTAAATCGTCTACTGGAGCATGTGTCAAATTTAGACCCATTGCTATTACCTCTCCTTTTTTGAAAACTATGGAGAAACTACTTCTACTTAGTCTTGTACCCTCTCTTAAATCCTTTAATGACCCAAAACAGTTTGCCTACAAGCACAGTAGAAGCACTTTAGATGCAGCTGCCGTCTTATATCATAACATTGCTTGCAGTCTATACAAGGGGGCTAAATTTGTTCGTTGTGCCTTCCTAGACTATACATCTGCTTTTGACTCAGTCCCTCGGGACATCTTATTCAATAAACTTGCTGCAAGTCAAACAGAATGTTGGGCTGTTAACTGGTTACACTCTTATTTCTCAGAAAGAAAGCAGTACACCGTGTATAAAGGGAAGTCTTCCACTTCGTTGCCTACTGAAGCTGGTGTCCCTCAAGGCGCTGTCCTTTCTCCTTTTCTTTTTTCTCTCTTCTTACATGACTTGCCGCAGTCTGATGAAATAAAATTTGTGAAGTACGCTGATGATTTAACTGTTTCAATGGCTGTTAACTCCCAGCGAGATTGTACCAAAATAAATAGATTTCTGTCGGCAGTTAGTAAATGGTCTGAGTCTAACGGTCTTAAACTGAATGTTTCTAAATGTCAAACTGTTAATTTCAGCCTAAGATGTAAAAGACAGTAGAAACAAGCCATCGAGTCTCATGACAGTTATAAGATTGATGACAATGATATAGGAATTAAATCAGAAATTAAGTATCTTGGACGTATTCTCTCTTCTCATCTCTCCTAGTCTTCCCATGTCTCAGCGATCTCCAGTAAAATATTCCGCCTGACATTTTACATTAAGAAGTTAAGGCACTGGGGTATAACTCAACCCCTCCTCTTACAGTTCATAAACTCTTGCATCCTACCTATTCTTCTTTACTGTTCGCCCTTATTCTTTCCTGATTTGCTTAAAAAGGACTTTGTCACAATTCACAGAATGCTGAAGACTGTCAGTAGGATGAGTGGTGTCCCAGTGGACTACATAGTTAACGTCGTTGTCGATGGGCACTTGACTTCGTGCAATAAATTTGCTAGAGGGATTTTGTCTAACTTGGAGCATCCACTTCACCCTCAGCTTTCACCTTGCATCTCCTCAGGTAGAACAAGAAGTAACTTCAGAAAACTGTATGCTCGCACGTCTAAGTATAAAAATTCTATGATACCATACTTGGCACGTATTTTATGTGATGAAAATAGCGTCAGGCAAGAATTGACTAACCTTTTTTCATCTAGTAAATAAACAATCTCCTCCATCCATCTTTATATACCTTCAAGTTTTACTTTTATTATTTCTATTATATTTATGGTCCTGTTGATTCTTTGTTTTCACTTTCATAACTGCAAACACCAACTTATCTCTATGACTGCTGTAATCTTTGTTTTTTCCCTCACCATATCATGTAAAGAGAACATCATATTCAATATTTTTAATCATGCAAGGATTTGTATACCACATCGACAATACTGTGTGAAACAAGCCCACGGCAATTTCCACTTGTATTATTATCATTACCTTAGCTGCTATCATTATTATTATTTCCATTTTATATGCTGCATGTTTTTGACATTACTCCTATTGTAAATGTGGAAACATTTTCTGTGTGATTAATTTTATTTATAATTTGAGGAAATTAGATGCAATATTGTGATTAATGCTGAAAATTCCATTCTGTATCACAAGTACTGTTTTTGGAATAAAGTAAATCATTAATATTATTATTATTATTATTATTATTATTATTATTATTAGATGAAGAGCCTCGGAATAATAATACTGAAAAACTGTGCTTCTATGAAGAAAGAGACTACTCACAGATTAGATTTTTCAATTAAAAATTTTCATTAACTCCTTCTTGTTGAAAGGTATTCTCAAAAAAATCTTAAAATTAAAAACTACTTTCATACTAGAACTAAATGAAGTGGGCTCTTCTTACACTTCTTATCCATGAAGGGTACTGAGAATAAATGAATACAGATTATCGCTGATGTAAGAAAGTTGTGTGAGTGAGTACCTTGATATCATTATGAGCAGTAATAATTTGTGTTCGAAACGTGGTTATCAGTTAATATTACTGTATAACAACACTGTGTGATTTATTAAAATAAAATCTTATCTATAATGGAGTTATACTCTACCACCACAGTACCCAGGTTTTATACTTATATCAAGTAATTTATTGATTTATAAATGTCTATGTACATTTAATTCAAGGATACCTTAATCCTCCAACCTTCAACAAAAATCAATCATACAATTACAAACGATACAAATAATGAAATATTGGATAATAACAATGAAGAGGATTTACAGATTCTACAGTCGGTACTGCAGCAGCAACAACAACAGCGAGAAGAAGCAGGTGAGCATCAATCTGAGGAAGACCAACAGCAACAAGAACAACAACAACAAAATGACTTGTCTTCATTATGGACAACATCTATATCAGATAGAACAGACGCCAGTGTTCCTTCCTTTGCGTATATAACTAACGATGCTCACATGAAAGACGTACAAAAACAACAACAACAACAACAATCATTGTTGATACAGTCAACAGATTTACCACGATTACCACTTCTTGATCATAGTGATGGTGAAACTGAAGAAACGGTATCCTATCTAACTCCTCCAGAAGATGCACAACATATTCAAGAGGGTATTCAAACACCTAGACAAGGTTAGTCAAATTTTATGCTTTAACATTGCTGTATGTTTCCATTCCCCCCCCCCCTACACACACCTGTGTATTATACTCATTATTTTGTATTGATACCTGTTTTGTATTTCAAAGGGAATGAAATCCCGGCTAGTTAGATTATGTAATCGCTTCGCCTGTCAATCAAGGGAATGAGTTACTCGTATGGTGACGTTGGGTAGTATACCCATTGTATTATGGCGTGTTTTATATATAGGTGTAGATTCATAGTGTAACGACAGAAGACAGAAGAACCAGGAGACAGTTCATTTATTGAGAAAATTAAGAGATATTTATAGAAGTTAGAATTCATGCGCTGGCCAATGGATCGGGTCCCAGTGGTTCAGTGGTCTACGAGCTCGCCTTATAACCAGAAGGCCCTGAGTTCGAGCCCCCCTGTGGTGGGTGCGTACTGATGAAGAGTTCCAAACTAGGACGAAACAACTGTCCAGTACTTACAGGTTTTCCAGTGGTTCTCTAACTGATTTCAGCTCATGATAAAATCTTTGATCTAATATCGATTTGTTAAGTAGGATCAATGGAATTACCGCAGTTCATTAAAGATTCTTAAACTATAATAGAAATAAAAATATAATAACAAATAGAATATCAACTAAAATTGAGGAAATTTCTATACCAAACTGAGGATCATTCATACCTAGACGGTGGATCCCGATGGCATCAGCTATATTTAGTAAACGAACTCTTAAAGCGAAGTTAACATTAGTTGGTATGCGGTAAATGACTTTGAAAGCTGCCTCTTTGACATGAATCTTGTGTTCTGTATCCACAAGACGAGTGAGATAGAATAGCGCCATGTGAATAGATTTTGTTTCTCCTTTACTTAACCAACCACTATGCAGGGTGATGTTCGGAAATCCGACAAGAAACACGCCTAAACTGTACGACCTAAGCAGCTAACTAGCTCACTCCACAGGAACATTTAATAAATTGTTAGATACACATGGAGGAGGAGGCGAAATTAGGCAGTTTATCTTTTATATGAAATAAGAGAATAGCTTTCATTCACTTGTAGAAAGAAAAGTAGAAAAGATTAATACTCGTTGTCATAGAGGTAGATTCTTAGAGTATTTAGTAATTGCATCCCCCTACTGTTTGTTATATTTCTTTACAGATCCAGCGAATTATTCAGCTATAACAACAATAACTCCAATGAATGAGAATCTTCATTGTGAAACTGGCGGTTATGTTGTTGGAGTGGAAAGTTGTCGAAGCAGTATTATTGTTGATGGCAATTTCGGTAAATAATATTTTTGCACATTATATATATCGATGTATCATGTATCAAAGTAGACATGGCTGGAGCACATGTCGCACGTGCTGAGGCACTGACTTCCTCTTCCAGTAAATGGTAGGTGATATAGGATTATTTTTTAGTTCATGAGAAATTCCCATTGTAATATATAGAAAAGCAAAACAATTGGTGATTCAGCGAAGAGACTCCATCAGCGAATTTATTATCAAGCTGTACAATCGTATATATATGGCCTTTTTAATAAGTTATATCCAGTGAGGGAATTAGTTCAAAGGTGTAAATGTATAAAATAATAATAGTAGTAGCATGAAAGGCAATTAAAACTAAAATGTTTGTGATTATAATCATAGTTAAATGTTAAGTGGCAAAGCAAATTAATTTCATATATAAAATAATTCATAGGATGGATAGAACTTGAAAAAGGGTGTGCAATTATAGGATTAGTAGACAAATAGAATAAAATAAAAACGTTACGTAACATTGTGTGGAACTTGATAACAAAGAATTTAACGTTGTAAAAAAGAATTGATTTAGAATGACAATTGGGACGAGTGAAATAACACCGGGGACAGTTCAAAGTGAGAATAGTAATAGTAACAATTGACGTAATAAAGGAAGAGTATACAAATTGAATAGACAAAATGAAAAATTGGTAGAGCTAAAATATGATTGGGGATTACCATACTTTAGCATAGAGGGATTAAGACCATGAAAGTTGGAGGGGTTGAACGAACTTCTTCTGTATACAGAGATCTGGCTTTTCTGTTTCGATAGCCAAAGCTTCAGCAATACAGATGAGTCGGGTACGTAGTGATTTGGGTAAATTACCTTTTGCCTTGTAGGTGACTTTAAAGGTGAAGGCTGTCGAGATAGGGTGATCATTATCGATGTTCAATGATCGCGCTTCTTATAGCTCCACTTCCACCTCTTCGTAATCATGCAGAGAGGTAGTGTTCTTTCCAGCCTCTTGGAAAAAACTCGAGTCGAACGACCGATATATCTAGCTCCACACGAACAGGTGAATTGATAAACGCACATAGAGTTGGTCAGCAGCGGGATCTTGTCCTTCAGGTTAGAAATGAATTAGGGATGGTGAGATCGAAACCTATCATCACTCCATGAAGTATTCGGTCATTAATTTGATCCAGACACATGGGGAGCTGTAGATTGTGTGGTTGGGGATCTCAGGATGCTGAGACTGTTAATGATACAGCCGAAAAACGTCCTGATTGATGCAGATCCATTTCCCCTTTTTAATCTCCAGGATTCATTAAATCCTTATGTTTCTTCACGTTACTGTTCTTTCTGAAGTAACTGTCTGGAGATACCAAGTTGGGTGTAAAGGAAATACTCACTGGTAACACTGACTGGCTTTCGCATTAAAATCACGAATCGGCGGAAGTTAGAATTCATGGGCTACTGAATTCCAGCCCAACTGCTGAATGGGCAACGAGCTTGCCTTGTAACCTAAAGATCTTGACGTCGACCCCTGGTGGGGTTGTGAGGTCATCGTAGTTCTGAAGAATCCTGAGCAAGGACAAATCACCTGTCGAGTGCTCCCTCGTTTTCAATGGTTGTATAACTGGTTCTATAATCTGTGATCAAATTTGAAAGAAATCCGATCGGTACAAACTAACTCATACAAATACTGGTCTAGTATGTGCCAAATTGTATACTTTTTTGGTGCAAACATAATCTCTGTCTTGTTGATATTAGATGGTTGGAGGTGATCGACAAGAAGCCTAGAACCTAGGGCTCGTGCTTGTTGGCACTCAACAGTCAGCAAGGCGTATCTGAAACCTTGAAGGAACTTCTATCCCTACTGAGATTTGAACCCATGTCACCCATTACTTACCTGCAGTCAAAGACGTTACCACTGAGCCATTCAGGCTGGCGATTGACTTCCTATAGAACTGTATTGGATACTTTGACTGGACACTTGTCAGTAACTTGTGTATTGAGTCTAGTCCTATCTTTGGCGCAGACTAAATTCTATCAGTCGAGTTTGCAATGTGGCCACCATGATAGGTGACTCGCCATCACGGTGCACAGTGAATTGTTGTTATTGTATGGTTGGGGGCAACTGGCAGGAAGCGTTGCTTGACGCAGGTTTCGTTACTAGTTGGCACTCACCAGTCAGCCTATCATGGTGGCCACATTGAAACACTGACCGATGAGATTCAGTCTGTAACAAAGAAAAGCATAGACACATTACACTAGTTACTGACTAGTTAAGGCTGGGTTGAATATAAACCGTATAAACTCATTCTGACGCATAGCTGCTACCTTGACGTGGTGGTCTGGCTTGGACATCGCAATGAGCCAACAAGCTACACTGGCTGGAACTATTGTCCCTGCAGGTTGTACCATGTCAGGAAGATTGTTAGGATAGCGAGATTAGACTAAAAGCAGCTACTATGCTGGGGCTCTGTGGACGAATTCGTACTTCTGGGGAACAGGGGTGTAACAGCAGTGAGGTGTTTCCCTCAAATGACCAGCATGTCGGCCAGCTATGCTGTCTCTCCACTCTGCAGAAAGAAAGACGGGGTTAGAAAAGGTCGACGCCGAAAATTGTACATCCTGACTTACCCTACGGTAGTGGTCCGTAACCGGCGGTAAGTTTACTTATACGGAACCGAACCAAGAAACCAGTTCATGCAGGCCGTGTGTGACCGGCTGACTTCAAGCAGTTGTCTCCTAGGCTCTGCGATCACGCAAAACTAACCATCTTTATGGTTTCAGGTACCCGAAGAAGGAAAATCAACTTCCACGGTGTGGGCAGTCGTGAAGTAACAACCGGCCACACACTTCCAAGAGCATACGAAGCCCACCCCCCTTGAACATCATTCTCCTTTATAAACTGATTAGGCCTTTTTATTTTCACAACTTTACCTCTTTTTTACCGTTAATAATGTAGGGAAATATTAATTCTCAATTGGTCGCCGTTTTACTTTGTTTTGTAGACAGGGAAGTATTCGCATATCCTGTTTCTAATGAAGCAGTTGGTCATTCTCTATTGAACTATGCTGAATTGCAAACAATTAACACCGGTATGCCAATTTCACAGTCAATATTGCCTATTGATAATTCTCAAATATTGATTCCGTGTAGAGAGGGGAAAATAAATCAAAATGTGAGTTAAAAGTCTATTTTACTACAAACCTCTGTTTATTTTTTTGCCATTACTTGAGTTACAAGTGGAACGCGATGAGATTGCTAGCTATACAACTCCTTCCCTCTTTCTCGAGGTTTACTGACGATTAGTACCTTTGTGATGAGAGCTATCTGCTAGCCAAAATTGTTGACAACAACTTACGTGGATAGTGACTAGCAGTGGAATCCAGGATAGAGGCGCTTTTCGTCCTATTTAGGACTCGTCAGTTGGACGTACCTGCATTCCTCAGTGAGTCAGTGATGATGTTCCCAGTGAGGCCCCAACCCAGTGCTATAGTTTCAAACGCCAAAGCGTTATCCACTAGACCACTTGGGTCACGAGAGCCACCTCTTGTCCAACGGGTCGTTTTGCCTGCAGAATGCAGGTACATCCAGATGACAAGTCCCAAACAGGACGAAATGCACATCCTGGATTTCACTGCTAGTCACCATCCACCAATCAACCCCTAATTACACGAACAGACATCATTGAAGTATCTTCAGAAGAAGCCGACAAACATGTCAACCTGAGACCGAGCACTTGGGTCCAATCAGTCGATGGGAAAATCTAAAATTGAATTAAATTTACGTCAGTGTCTACGTCGCGAATCAGGATCATGAGAAAAAACAATAACAAAGCTTAACCTTGAGAAACTGAACAAGCAATCAAAGCAGACGTAACGCGTGCAAATACGATTCGCAGATATATGACCTGACTATCTAGGAAACGGCCACTAAGAGATGACAGAATAACCTTCAACGAGAAAACAACCAATCAGGAGACATTTCTTCTCTGTTACCAATAACCAATACTAATATACATAAAAATCTTTAAAAATATCCCTTGATTTTCTCGATAAACGGTCTGTTGCCTGACCTTTTTCTTCTGTCGTCACAAGCTAAGCAAGGTTTATGAGTGCGTCGGCCAGGAGTCGAATTCGGACCACGTGCGTAGCTGGCGAAACGGTAGCCCCAGTGACTGGTTGATCAATGGGCTCGCCTCATAATCCGCTGGGTTTGATCCACCATGGGGTCAGGAGTGCGCGCAACTGAAGAGTCGCAAACTGGGATGAGACGAATGCTGTCAGTTGATTGACTAAGATAAAATTTTAATAACATGTGTTCTCTGGATGAATAATTTTTCATCGCAATTACAGTATTCAAGTGGATCTCTCATGTCTTAGCTTCTTTTTGGGGAAGAGCTTCAGCACTGTTCTTTATCATTTGATTTTCATTCCATGTGCTGTTTTCATGAGTGCAGCTGCTGAAAACAGCTCCATTTTTCGTTAGGTTTTTCAAGCTTTCTGTCTTTTTCTAAAATAATACTGATATCTAGTTGCACACTTAAAATGGTGATATACATACTACTGATTGTTTGATGTGAGTAGTAGGATAGCCGATCACATCCAACTAAGTACGTGTTTGCCAACCAAGATCAAAGTGGCCTAACATATCGCATGGCGTTCCATTCGTTTGAGAAATCTTTCAGATTTAGCCATGAGCTGACATCAGTTCAAGAAGCATTGGAAAAGTACTTGGGAATATTGGATAGCTGTTTCATCCCGGTTTGGGACTCCTCAGTAGTGACCATCCACCGGTGTTAGAACCTAAGTCCTTCCGGTTACAAGGATAGTGCGTAGACAATTCACCCACCCACTGGATCCAATCGCAAATGAATTTTAGTTTCTGCCAATTGGTGATCCATATAACACAGCTGCGAGACAATGCCATCGATGAGTGATTATTTTCTGCCCTATCTTAGTGGACTTCGCTGGCTATGACTCCTCCAGACAACTTCCTTTATAAAGCCAGCCCCGAATAAGTATAAGATTAATTCTCAAGTACTGGTGTAACGACAGAGGACAAGGGCTCGGAAACACATTGTTAATTGAGGAAATCAGGAGATATTTATGTATTTTTATGTACATTATTATTTGTGTTATTGTTAGCAGAGAAACACCGTCTTCTGATTGGTTGTTTTCTCACTGGAAGTTATTCTGTCATCTCTTTTTGACCGTTTCTTTGAAGGTCAGACCGTATATCTGCGAATCGTATCCACCCACGCAAAGTGTGCTGTGATTGGCTGTTGAGTTCCTCAAGGTTAGGCTGTTCCTGTTGTTTTCTCATGACCCTGATTCGGGAAGTAAACAATGACGTAATTTGGTGTCTACCAATTTTGGCTAGCAGACAGCTCTCACCATATTGGTTTGCAGGAATCCCTCTCTTTTATTGATTATTTTTATTCGATTATGTATATCATATCATATTTCGGGTATTTCTATATTATTTATTTATTTTAGGAAAATGTGTCAGCTACTGAAGAACAGCATAAGATTGAGTCTTCCGGTGAAAATTCCAATTTTCGTAGTATTTGTATATCGACTAGCGGTAATGCTGATCATTTGGCTGCTACAACATTTCACAATGTTCAACCCTTTCAAAAAAGTCTCCAATCATCTTCATTCCCTACAAATAATGAATCAGCAGTAGAGTTGTACGAGTATATACCTTCACGTTATACTGGTTTATCTACATCCGATGTCCAATTGCTTCATTTGGATCAGATCTGTCGTAAGTCTGTGTGTTTGTGTATGTGTATGTATGCGTGTATATTTTAAGCGGTTTCATGTTAGATGAATTAGAGAACTTCTTGTTTGATTCTACATAATTACGACGGCGAATAAAAGGTGATATTTATTTCCAACTAGATATGGTTTTTACGAGAGGCTAAGAAACAAAATTACACAGGATTAGAACTAATATCAAGTGTGTAAAAATGAGCATGGAAACGAAATTGAAATAATAATTTTCAACTTGAGATGGGAGTTAGGAGGTTCTCTAACACGTTTTGAAAGGACGCGCATTATTCAGCGTGGCTGCAAAGAGGAGGCACCGGTTCAATCAGAAGTGCTATTATTGAACATCTGATGAACACCTCCCACAACATCTCAAAGTAATTTACAAAGTCAACAGAAACCTACCGAAAGCAGTTTGTTTCCGACTTCTCTGTACTGCAGAAGCCCTCGCAATATGCATTGAGAAGCCGGAGCTGTGTGTTCAAAAGAAATTAGTCCAACCTCTACAACTACCATGGACGTAGTTCGGTATGTTCCCTTAGTTTCTGTTTTTCTCTTGTTTCGCTCTCTTTTTTTGTTCTTTTTTCGTTCGCTATGTATGTGATTCTTACTCTCTCATTCTTCATTCGATTCACCCCATTTTTTTCAGTTATAAAAACAGTTATTTTAAGTTTGTTTCCATGCTTTTCCTGTTCATATTTATAATTCGTTTTAACAATTATATCTTAATCCTGTGCAATTTTTGTGTTTCTAAGGCTCTTGTAATCCATACTCACACCTCCTAACTCCCATCTCAAGTTGAAAATTATTATTTCAATTTCGTTTCCATTTTAGTTCTAATCCTGTTTGTTTCTAAGCCTCTCGTAAAAACCATATCTAGTTGGAAATAATTATCACCTTTTATTCGCCGTCGTAATTATGTAGAATCAAACAAGAATTGTCTCCATGTAAAATTATGTATTTAAATGAGATTGTACAGCTTTTGAAAATGAAATCGCCGAAAAGATATCTTTGCTGAACTTCGTGTTCTCTTCTTTCTAATGTCCATATGGGTGTTTTCCGCGATCTGAATTAGAGAACTAGTTAAAGCCAGAATGTATTGAACAGTCGTATGCTCCCAGTTGGTCTCCTTGGGTACGCAGTGCTGCAGAGTCCCGTGTTAGGGACGAAAAACTTGTCCAGTAATCTAGTACTCTAAATGATGTCATTTTTGTGATCTAATTTTAAAATATGGTACTCGAATGGGGAAATGACCAACTGATCGTGTGTGCCTGAGAGTGGCCTATAGGAGATTGTATGAACAGCAAATCAATAATAATAAAAATAATAATAATAATAACAGTAATAAATCAAAGCATTCTTAAAAGTAAATTCACGCATACACTCGGTCGGTCGGTCGGTTTTCGACATAGAACTTTGCACATATGTGCAGTAGTTCAAGTCGCCACAATCTATGTAGCACGCAAAGCAAGAGAAGGAAGTAGAAGAAATGCATAATATAGACAGTAAACATAGGTGCGAGACAAAGGAATAGTAATAACAAAGAACAAAACAGTTTAATTGGAAATCATAAGTCACAAGGAGTAGATGCATCTGCGCCACTGAGAACGATTTTGAGCCATGTCACCAATTGTTTCCAACCATTGGTTTTTACCATTCCGAGGGCCCCAACCAGGAAGTCTACATCTTCCTACGTGGCTTAGATTAACTGTTGTAGATTTCATAGATTGGTGCCATGTTTTGGTTTGACCGCCGCTAGCTCTTTTCCAACCTGACCCTATATCAGCTAACATTGCCCGTCGAGGAAGGCGATGACTAGGCATACGTAGCACATGTCCTAACCATCTCAGTCGAAGTAATTTCACCGTTTCGTCGATTGATTTCCCCGCCTTACCTAGCACTCGACGCCTAACCTCAATATTGCTCACCTTATTATACCACTTCACACGGGAGATAGAACGCAGACACCTATGATCGAAGACAGCTAATCTTTTCATGTCGTCTGCTCTCAATGGCCAGGTCTCACAGCCATAAAGGAGGACGGAGCGGACTGTTGAGCAGTACACACGCCCTTTGGTCGATAGTCGGATATCGCGTCTACGCCAGAGACGGCGAAAACTGACGAATGGGAACCTAGCCCTCTGTATTCGTGCTGAAATTTCGTCGGAGATCAACCCGTCGGGGCTGATGGTACTTCCCAAGTAAGTGAAGCGGTCAACGTGCTCTACCACTTCACTTCCTATTTCTAATCTAGGGGTCGATGAAGTCCAATCCTGCAGCATCATCTTACATTTTATAGGGGCGAATCGCATGCCAAACATGCGGAGATTGTTGCTCAGGGTGTTCAGTAGACTCTGCATTTTGTCAGAGTCCTCGCCTAGAAGGACTATATCGTCTGCATATTCTAAGTCAACGAGATTCTTCCCTGGTAGCAAGTCAATCCCTGAGTCGCTGAAGTGAGTTAGGGTTAAGTCCATTAGTACATCTATGATGAAATTGAATAGGAATGGGGATAATGGGCATCCTTGACGGACGCCACTAGTCGTCACCACTTCAGATGACAACTCGCCATAAGCCCTCACCTGGCTGCATGAGTACGAGTAGAGTGCCTTAATCAGTGCAATGTATTTTCTTGGCATTCCCTTTACAGCCAAGCATCGCCAGAGAACCTCCCGGTCGACAGAATCCAATGCCGCCTTTAGGTCAAGAAATATAATGATTGTCGGACGCCGGTAGGAATGCCTATGTTCTAGAATCTGTCGAAGGGTGAAGATGTGATCAATACACCCTCTACCTGGCCTAAAACCTGCCTGGTTTTCTCGTGTTTGTGTCTCCCGAGCACCACTTAATCTACGCAGTATTATTGAGCCTAGGATTTTAGATACTATATTAGTCAAGTTAATCCCTCTGTGATTATCACAAGACGACTTGTCCCCCTTCTTGTATATCGGGATGATCAGTGACTTACACCAACCCGATGGGACTTCCTCTGATTCCCAGACGCTGCCTAGAACCTCCGTTAACGCAGACAGTAAACTGTCGCCTCCGTACTTAAATACCTCTGGAGTCAATAAATCAGGTCCCGCTGCTTTGCCTAGCTTCAGATTGGTGACAGCTTTAGTAACCTCAGTTAAAGACGGAGGACCTGTGTCTATCTCCCATTCAGGGAGGTGTTGGATGTCCGGTAGGTTAAGTGTGGCTGTGGGCCAATTAAGCTGTTCCTCATAGTGTTCTTTCCAGCGCTCCAGACGTCTATCCTGGGAGCTAATTATGGTGCCATTTTTCTCGGAGATTGTTTCGCTTATCATTTGTTTTTTACCACCTGTTTCCCTGATAAGCCTGAATAGTTGTCTGGTGTTGCCTATCGCCGATGCTTTTTCCATCTCTTTCGCCTTTGTCAACCACCACTGTTCACGGTCCTTGCGGAGACTTTTCGTAAGTTTCCTCTTGTGCAGCTTTCGCTCCTCATTGAATTCGGAGCTCGCCGGAATAAGTCTTCTAGCATCTATCAGTTCGGATGAGGCAGTCGAAATCCAATGGTTTTTACTCACCTTTGGATTTACCTTATTCACAGCTTTTACAGCTGTATCTATGGCTGATTGAATATTCTTCCAGGCTTCTTCAGGGTGAGCACAGCTGTCAAACTCAGATATGTGTTTAGCTAGTTCTTCCTCAAATAGGGACTTAGTTCCCTGGTCGAGCTGGGGACGTGATGGGTTTACCGCCAGGTGTTTCCTACGTCCGTTCAGTCGTAAGCACACGCGAGCGCGGACCAGTGCGTGATCGGTATCTACACACGTGTTCCAGAAGGAGCGACAATCTCCTACCGACCCACGCCAACGATAGCTTATTGCTATGTGGTCTATTTGTGTCCAGCGTTGATTTGATGATGGTGGTCGCCAGGTCAAACAGTGTCTCTCCTTGTGTTTGAAGTTAGTGCTTACAAGATACAAATGATTATCTGAACTGAACTGTAGGAGACGGTCACCGTTGTCGGTTCGCTGGCACGGAATTCCGTATGTGCCACCAACATTCTTCTCAGATTGACACAATTTCCCTACTTGAGCATTAAAGTCACCAGCTAAAACGACTATATCTGAGCGTCTAGCCTTTCGCAGCGAACTAGACAGCTTTTGGTAGAACTCATCCTTCGTTTCATCCGAACTGCAGTCAGTGGGGGCGTAGGCGGAGATTACGAAAAGGCATCGGCGAGTAGTGCAGTCCTTTCTCCTTTTCACTGATCCGTTCAGGCGGACAGCGCACATTCGGCTATCTACCGGGATCCAGTCAAGTAATGTCTTTTCTGCTCTAGTACTTAAAGCTATCCCAACACCAGCTAATCCTCGTGAGCTAGCCGTCGCATACACTAACATTTACAAATGAATTATTAGTAATTGGTAGCGCGGCTGTTTATTTTTGTCAAATTAATGTACCCTTCAAATGAACTGTCGTCAAGATTTGACAGAATAGTTCTAAAATATAACTGGGCACCGAGTGAGAAGTAGACATTTGTAAAAAATTATATTTGTAAAATCTCAGCGATATTGAAATGAGTAATTCCAACGTTTCCTACGTTCGGCAATCTGGTCCGAACTTCTTCAGGGAAATTAATCGAAATTAACATAACAGAGGTTTATATATAAAAGGAACATCACTTGTTTTTAAAAACTTTGTCCAATCATGAGTCATTCAACAAGAATAATAAACAAAATTTTAAGAGCTGTGTTCAAAATTTGACCCCGGACTTACAAATATTGGTCTACCTTTGTTAAACACTTTAAACAGAGTGTGTATGTGTGTGTGTAAACAGTTGTAAAACATTTCTTAACGTCTCCATAAGAAGATATGGACAGTCGAGAATTTTGACCAAGTATTAATAATGAGTGATACATATCCATTTTTTATTTATTAATAAGAATTTCCTATGCATCAGATAACATCACGCCTTCATGTATACTCAAACTGTTAGTATTTAGAATTTTATGATTAGATGTATTTTCAAAATTATGGTGTTTAAGATTAGAGTTTAGTAGAAGCACCCTGTCGGACTTATTGCTTTGTCTTCTTTCTGAAGATTGAGCTGCTTTATTCGACCTTTTGGAGTTGTCAGGTGACTCGACAGCTACGCATTTAGGATATGCATATTCTGTTGCAGACAACGGAGAGTGAAAACACGATGATTGTGCCAATTACACAGTTTCTTTGTTAATTTAATTCGATTCCAAAATAATTCATCAAGCGAACTGTCGTCAAGATTTGACAGAATAGTTTTAAAATATAACTGGGTGCTGAGTGAGAAGTAGACATTTGTAAAAAAAATTATATTTGTGTAAAATCTCAGCGAGATTGAAATGAGTAATTCCAACAATCGTTTTCTGCATATAAACCTCCGTTATGTTAATTTCGATTAATTTCCCTGAAGAAGTTCGGACCAGATTGCTGAATGTAGGAAACGTTGGAATTACTCATTTCAATCTCGCTGAGATTTTACACAAATATAATTTTTTTATTGATGTACCCTTCCTTGTGGATGGTAAAATACAAAAAAGACTTCACTCTGGAATTTCAATTTCTTAACTGTTATTCTGTATTCTGGTTGTTGTTGTTGTTGTTAGTTTGGTATTGGCCAACTCACGCCATCTCTGCGTAAACGTGATATATGTACGGCTATCGACCAAAAGGATGTGTGCACTGCTCAGCAGTTCACTCCGTTTTTCCTGTACAGTCGTGATGCGTGGCCACTGAAAGTGGGAGATATGAAAAGGCTAGCTAATTCCATATTAGTTTGTTTATTAGGTATATCACACAGTGAAACAGTATTATTTACTGGATGACAAAGTTCCGAACAAAATTTATTCATTGTTCATAATCATATCATCAATTGTAATTACACAACATCGAAACTTCAGTTTTATAGTTTTCTTTGTCTTCTCCTACTTGTCGTCGTTGGGGTAGTAGAATTTTCTAGATATCTGAGTGGACAGGTGTTGAATTATTCCTATTACACGCATTCTCTTCAGTTGATTCGGTAAACAAAGCTTCCGCTATCAATCTCTCCCTATACCCTGTAAAATTAGATTTTAAAGCTGTCATCCTATCCCATCCTATTGTATGGTTGTGTGTAACTGTGCTATAGCTGAACTATTATCTAGATTTCTTATCTTATTTGGATCAACCAATCTAGATTTTGCTAGATTTTTATTCCCAAGTTAGTCTGACTGCCCCTGTTCTACTAGTTTGACTTATGTATTTGACCTGACAATTATTGCAGGCAGGGTATTAGATAAACTAAATTGTTTTGTTTTAAAGGCTCTACAGGGTCCTTTAGCCGACTAAGCTTGTTTCTAATTGAGTTTGTGGGTTTGAATGCCAGCCACTTTTATTCCTGCCTTGTTGAGAATTCTGCGTAAGGCTTCCGAGGTTCCTTCCTTGTATGGAATTACTACTGATGATTTAGATTCTTTATTGTTGGTGTCGTCATTAATATTATTATTATCACTATTATCATTATCATTATTATTGTTATTATCACTATCGCTACTATCATTATTTATTTTATTTTTACATTTCCTTACATATTTCCTGACTAATTTATCCGGGTAATTATTAAGTTTCAAGGCTTCTTTTATATGTATCAGTTCCTGTTTTAGATTTTCTTTGGTACTACTTAATTTTTGTGCTCTGTCATTTAAACATTTCACCAATCCTATTATTACTGACATAGGATGGGATGATTGGAAGTTCAAATATCTGTTTGAGTGTGTGGGTTTCCTGCAAACACTAGTGCGTTTAACTTCCCATCTTCTTTCCTTTTTACGTTGCAATGTAACATTGGGAGCGCCCCTTCCTGATTTTCAATCCATGAGTGAATTGAATTGCCTCCACCTTTTTAGTTAACGTGTTCCAGAAATCTGCCTATATCCTGTGTTCTAAGTACAGTGAATGTGTCATCTACATTCCTCCACCATACTTTTGGGGTGGGGGTGAACCTTTCAATCGGTATGGTTTCCCACTTATTCATGAATATATCTGCTGCCACTGGGGATACACATACATTAATAGGCCAGCTAATTGTCTCTGATCAACGTGTCTGTATTCTACCTCCATATGTTAGTTGGTATCATGAGGTGCGTAATAATGCAGTTTGGCTTTGAGTGTGTTAGATAAGGAAGGGAAATCAGTTGACGAGTTTGTGAAGTTACATCGATTGAGAGATGGTTAGGACATGTGTTACGCATGCCCAGCCAACGGTCGCCTTCATCGACAGCCAGTGTTAACTGACTGACATAGGAACAGGTTGGAAAAGAGTTAACCAGTGGTGGGTAAACCAAAACATAGGGTCATCAGTCAATGAAATCCAAAACAGTTAATTGAAGCCACGTAGAAAGGTGGCGACTTCCTGACTGGTTGGGGTCCTGTGGATGGTAAATCCAATGAAGGCTGGAGACAGTTGATGATATGGCTCGAAATCGTTGTCAACGGCTGTCACAGTTAGATGCATCCACTCCTTGTGACATATAGTATCCAATAAAACTATATCGTTCTTCGGCATTACTATTCTTTTTGCCTGATATGTCTGTTTACTGTCTCTATTTTGCGTTTCTTTTTACTTTCTTCTTCTTCTCTGGCTTTTGTGTGCTGAGTGAAGTGTGGCGGCTCGAAGTGCTGCACATCGGTGCTTAGTCGTTTGTTGAAACCGCTCCAGTCCAGTCCTATACAGAAAGTCACCTGGATTTCTAGTGACAAGTCGTGATCAGAGTGATCCAAAAAGTCAGTCACGTAAGAGAACAATTACCCACCGATGGCGCTGACTGTTGAGAATTAGCAGAAGATGAAATTTATGAGCCACTAGGTCGACTTCTGGTATCCGAATGGTCCATGAGCTCGTGTCATGACCAGAAATTCCTGAATTTGAACCCCGTTGCTTGCGTCGTGCTGCTTAAGAGTACCAAAAACTGAGACAAAGTAGCTGTCCAGTACTCCCTGGTGGCTTCTAATAGTTCTGTGACTAACTAACATCACCTCGTGATCAAACGTAGAATCAATCGAATCCGAAAAAAAAATGAATTTTTGCCATATAAGTCTGTGTATTCTATCTTGTCAGTGTACTGATAGCACTCAAGTAACCTGTTGTATATTGTTGTATGTTGTAGTCCTCCTTGTCGCCTTCCTTGATGGAAAATGTTAGCTGATATAGGGTCAGGATGGAGAAGAATTAGCCAGTGGTGGTCAAACCAAAAACATGGCTTCATCATTCAATGAAATCCACAACAGTTATTTGAAGCCACATAGGAAGGTGTACACTTCCTGACTGGTTGATGTCCTCGGGACGGTAAAAACCAATGAAGGCTGGAGACAATTGGTGATATGGCTCAAAGTGATCGTTCTCAATGGCTGGCGCAGATGTATCCACTCCTTGTGACTTACAATATCCAATAAAACTCTGTTGTTCTTCGATATTACTATTCCTTTTGCGTCATATCTCTGTTTACTGTCTCTATTTTGCATTTCTTCTACTTTCTTCTCTTGCTTTGTGTGCTACATGGCGGGAGTAAGGTGACTCGAACTGCTGCACATATGTGCAAAGTTCTATGTTGAAACTAGTCAGTCAGTCAGCCTCACTTTCAACTTCTCCTTTCTTCTGGGTTTACTGCCGTCTTCGTGAGCCTTAGAATCGACCTCGGAATGCGCTTGCAATTGGCGAGCATTCTACCGCTTAACTACACACACACACACACTCATAAAGCCACTGCCCGATGAGGCACACACATCACGAAATCGTCTATTTACTTCACTCATCATCACAGTAATGAATCATATTTATTTTCAAGTGTTGTTTTGAATATCAATGAGATGCTCACTAGCGACTTGCCCTATTCAGGTAGGTAGTTACCTGGGGTTCTAGTGAGAAGTCGTGATCAGTAGGGTGCAGCAGGTTGGGTGTGAGGACAAATACGCCTCGAAGACATTGGCTAGGGGTCGCGCTATGTCGTGAATTGGCAGAAGTTAGAATTCATGGGCCATTGGATCGGGTCCCAGTGGCTCAATGGTATACGAGCTAGCCTTGTAACCAGAAGGTCCTGGGTTCGATGAAGAGTCCCAAACTAGGACGAAACAGCTGTCCATTACTCCCAGGTTTTCCAATGGTTCTCTAACTAATGTCAGCTCATGATGAAAATCATTTTTATTTATTTTATTTCTCTTCTTGTCTTTCGTTTTTTTAGAAAGTCTACCAACTTGCAATGCACTGCTTAATTCTACTACAGAGACGACAATAACAATACGACCAGACACTAATCAACTTTCATTCAATACTGCTGAACAAAAGCCTATAAATGATTTGCCGAAACAAAGTCAAGTGAATAGTATATCAGAAAATATGATTGGAAGTGTAACTAAGGTAAGTTTTAAAGTCGAATTTACACTTAGAATTTATGATAACTTATCTGAATAAATCATCAAATGACCAATACTTCTATTAAGATTATTATTATTATTGTAACGGTAGAAGACAAAAGAAGTGGTTATGGTGTAACGACAAAAGACAAGAGCCAGTTAACAGATTGTTGATTTGGAAAATCAACAGATGTTTATCGACTTTTATGTACGTTATTTTAGGTTACTGTTAGCAGTGAAACAGCGTCTTCTGATTGGTTGTTTTGTTGGTGAAGGTTATTCGTTCATCTCTTTGTTGCCATTTCTTTGAAGGTCAGACCATATATATATATATCTGCGAGCCGTATCCGCCCACGCAAAGTCTGCTGTGATTGGTTGTTGAGTTAGTCTTTGTTCTTGTTTTGTTTGTTTTCTCATGACCCCGATTTGGGACGTAAACATTGACGTGAATTTGCTGTCTACCGATTTTGGCTAGCAGACAGCTCTCAACACAATATGAGTTCTACTTATAGGATCCACTAATTGAAATTAATGATAGAGTTTATGTTGACTATACCCCACTGATGATAGTCAGTCGCTCAGCATTTTAAATGGACCCTGTCCTTAAACTTCGTTGAAAGTCTCGCCCTAATCATAACCCTACCCCAAGACCTTAATCCTGAATCAGGGTTAAATTTGCAACGTAGAATATCAAAAACACTTATTTGTAATGTTGAACGATTGGATTGGTTAGTTCAAGGTCATTTGACTGTGGTATCTGTTTATTTTTTACTTTTGCCCTCTAACCTCTTATCCCTTTTAAAAGCTTTGATGAAAAACATTTATACTCACTTCTGTAAATTTCTAAAGCAAAACACACATTCACAACTTCATATTTTGGCGAAGTTCAGCAATAGCGTCCCAAAAGTGGGAATGCTCCAATGACCTTGAACGCATGCTAGTCGTTGGCTAATGGCAGCTGTCATTGTTATAGCTGAAATATCAACGCTTTTCACCACAGCTAAGCAGGAAATTTCACCCAGATCACCTTTTTAAGTAGTGTTTTGACAATGTGTTAATAGCTAGTTAGGGTTAGGATCAGGGTCAAAGTTAGGATTAGGGTTAGATTTACGGCTAGGATAAGAGTTATAATTAAAGTTAGGGTTATGATTATGGATAGGTTTAGAGGTAATGTCATTTATTTTAATTTGTTTTATTATCTACATTACACTGGTAAGTAGTTGTCGATCCTCTTATTGGAAACCATAGTAATTCAACCGAAGGCTTTTAGGGAAGACTGCACAACGGGATAAGAGAGATGAACGATTCACAAAAACATCTCATCTTCAGTCACCTCGGTGAATACATGTTGAGAAACTAGTCTAACTTAGCAACCGATACTCCTCATTACAACTGGGACCTGTTTTTAAGTCATGTCTGAGCAAGATACCCTGTTTAATGTGCCTTTATGTATTTTCTTGTAAATATAGGTCATTTTTTGATGCAAAAATTCCTTATTTCTATGACTGATCGGCTCAAGGTCACCTGTGCGTTCTCATCCTTTAGGTTGCTATTGTTGAACTTTGCCCATATTTTTTTCCTACTATTGTCATTACCTTAACAAGGAAACTGGTTACGTGACGATCAGTGAAGAATAGACACCAACTTCAGACGACTCTGAAACAGCCAATCAGATTCTTCTAGGTGAAAAGTGGTACTTAATTTACAAAGAAATGTTTCTAACGTAATATATATATATATATAATTATAAATGAATCATATAGGGTGTATATTTCAAATATGCTGCGAAAACTGGACCCAGATTCTCATAGAAGTGGTTATAGACATATCAAACTAATGTATTCTCTATTTCTCCAGCTGTAGCAGATATTGGTTGCATATACGCAATATATAACTAAAGGAGAGCTGGGATTTCGAGATGAAAGTGACCAAAAAAAGATAGCCATTTATGTACGACTTACTAACTTTTACAGACTTCCTCACATAAAATGGTTGCATAACCATAAATAGCCCGGCAACACATTTCCAGCGTCGGTGGCACAGTGGTTAGGACTCTCGCCGACCATGCACATGGTCCGGGGTTCGATCCCCTACCGGCGCACACCCGATATCTATGGTCGGCCTGAATTTGGCCAGCGATATCCATGCTGAAAATTCCACACTTGTACTGAAAATACGGTGTGGAATCAAGCTGTAAATCAAAATAAAAATAAATAAATAAAATATCGATCTGTACCAGGAACAATGACAACTGGCGTCATAAGAAATGACTGACTATAGACGGTTTTTGCTAAGTTATTCAAAAGACATGGGATTATAAGCGGACTAGTATTTGGACACAATTATTTTCAAATCTTTAAATATTCCCATTATTAATATTAGAACAAGACGCATATAAGTGAACAATATTTTTGCTTTCAATTAGATCCCCTTCTTCAGGCTTTACTCTAATTAACATAGATTTATATATAAAAATTTTAACCAATGACGGTGATTTTGTGGATCGAATAATAATAATAGTAATAATAATAATAATAATGTGGGAAATGTTTTGAACGACGTTAGTAACGATGATTATAATGATAACAAAATATTGATAATAAGGTTTATGTAGGTGGAGATAAGAATAACAAAGGTAGTAATATGTATGTGTATATGTAGACAATTCAATAAATAAATAAATTAGGTCAAATCTCAAAAGTTACGTAATACTAAAGGTGGGTGAAGTGGACAGATAATCAGAGTTTAAATAAATATCATAAAAGTACGAAGGAGATGGAAAACAAGAAAGGTTGGGAGGGTTTTGAATAGAATTCACCTAGGCCAAGGGAGAGACAAAGGTAGAACAAAATTCTTTTGTATGCAAAGACACTTGGATTGTTCTCTCGAATTAGTTCCCATAGACGGTTTCGAATTCCGTTGGAAAGGCTCAATGGAATGCGAAAGATAACTTTGAAGGTGGCACTATTTCTGTCCACTTGGTAACCCCTATCACTCAAATGAGTCAAAAAGAACTTCGTATAGATTTTATTTGGCTTTTTCCGAACTATGAAGGAAGATGCTCATTAATGCGTTTGTTAAGCTGTCTAATTGTTCACCCTATATAGCTAGCTTTCTCCACAGGAGCAGCTAAATTTATAGATACACATAGAAGTGACACAGCTAGCCAGGTAGCTTGTCTTTCGCTTGAGCAATCAAAATTGGTTGGCAGCTGTAAAATGACAAACAAAAGGGCGGGGGTGGCGGCAGTATAAGTCCGTTTTATTTCTCTCGATAATCTCAGATGTAAGACTTCATTAGCCACGTCCCCATTAAATTGCAGTTTCATGGGCAGTTGTTTCTTTTCAACTGTTGTCAGTTTCTCTTTGTTATACCTAGTGTGTTCATGTGTCTCCTTACAAATCTACTAGGATAACCCATTTGGACCAGCGTATTTTTGATGTATCCTAATTCATTTTCTAGGGAGTCATCTGTACAAATACGTCTTGCTGTATTCGTGAGGCATCTGACCAATTGATTTTGTATCAGATTAATACAAAACTGAGGAAATGTGTATAGTGTCCTACAGATGTAGGTTTTCTATAGACACATTCCTCTTGAGTGAATCATCCTCTCTTCTGCTCAATTGGAGATCAAGGAAATGTAGTCTACCATCTTATTCTTCTTCTTTACAAGTGAAGATGACCGATGGATGTGCATCATTAAATTTTACTAAAATTTCATTCTTGTCAGCTTTCACATTAAGAATAGATATGATAGAGAAGATTTGTAGCTCAGGTGGATGATTTTGATGTGGTTGTGTTCAATGAGCTGGATAGTTAATTCGCGAAGCTTTCATCGCTCTACTAGGCGACATCTTCAGCGCATACTTCAATTTGAAGTGACCTTTTAGATTTCTCCACGAGTTTATTAATCATCTCTCCTGGCAACCTTGGACGTGATTGGTTGTTATTGTGTGTTTTCACACCTTCTAGGTTACTTGTATTGTAACTCATTGTTTCTTTGACTTGTACTTTGACCCTTTGTGTGTGACTATTCTTTCTTATCGGTTGATATATCTTGTCTATCTCGATGTGTCTATTGATTGATGATTCACTGGTATGCCAAGCTTCTAAAAATTCTCTAGAATTCTTGTTGTTTCCTCTGTGTAATATTTGAACGTTGTCCCAGTCGAATTGATGTCCGTGGTTGTCTGTATGTAGTGATATGAGGGAGTGGATATCATGTCTTTTAACGGCTAGCTTATGATCGTGGATACGAAGACGAAGGGGACGTCTACTTTGGCCAATGTAGTGTTTCTCGCAGTTGTTACAATTTATCTTGTAGATGATGTTGGTTTTTCGCTGTTGAGTGTTTTGGTTGACGTAGAACTGAGTGAAGTGATTTTGTTGGTTTGTGTACGACGTCAATTCCTAAAGGTTTGACGAGTCTTGAAGTGATTTCTGATATATCCTTTATATATGGCAGGGCGAATTTCTTTACGCTTTCCTTGGGGGCCGTGAAAGATGATTAATAAACTCGTGGAGAAATCTGAAAGCTCACTTCAAATTGAAGTATGCGCTGAATATGTCGCCTAGTAGGGCGATGAAAGCTTCGCAAATTAACTATCCAGCTCAGAGAACACAACCACATCAAAAACATTAAGAATAATAAACGTATCATCAACATAACGAAAATAAGAATCAGTTTTGTGTATAATACTTGTTTCAACGGATCATTTTCAAGCTTAGTATTTCGTGTATATCAATCAATAGTTTGGTAACATGTGGGTTAATTTCAGCCTGAGAAAACCGGTGTATGTGTATTCACGTTGTACATTATTGGCTAAATAATGATAATACTCTTACAGAAAGCCATAATTTGTCTGAATCGTGTTATGTATGTATTTGCGCAACACATTTCGAACAATCTGATCACACACGGACTTTTCATAGGATTGTATATACATGAAATTAATAAAGAGTTAAGATGTGAGAAAATAGACTACTTAGGTCAAGTTAAAAG